CCGTGCGGTCCTTGCGTCGAGGGTAGGCTGCGTGCCACCCCTCACTCCTCCTCCCTTCGTCCGGCCACCGAGCCTTTTGAGACGCTGCACTTGGACGTCTGGGGCCCCTCTCCTCGCCCTGGCCCTGAGCGTGAGCGTTTCTTTTTGGTGGTCGTTGACGACTACTCCCGCTACACCACAGTGTTCCCCCTGGCGAGGAAGTCTGAGGTGACTTCTACGCTGATCAGGTGGTTGCTTACCACCCAGGACACTCGTGGTCGTCGTGTCAGCTGTCTCCACTCCGACCGCGGGGGCGAGTTTCGCTCCGGCATTCTCGCTGGATTCTGTCGCGAACAGGGCATTCGTCAGTCCTGGACGCTTCCGGAGTCCCCACAGCAGAATGGGGTTGCTGAGCGTCGCATAGGCCTGGTCATGGAGATTGCCCGCACCTCCTTGACTCACGCCCGTGCCCCCCATTTCCTGTGGCCATACGCGGTCAGGTACGCCGCGCACCAGCTGAACCTCTGGCCACGCGTCTCTCGGCCGGAGGCTTCACCGACCAGTCTTTGGACAGGGTCCCCTGGTGTCGCGTCGAGGTTTCGTGTCTGGGGGTGCTTGGCTCTTGTCCGCGACACCTCCGCGGACAAGCTCTCGCCTCGCGCCGTTCCTTGTGTCTTCCTTGGTTTCCTTGAGGACTCCTCTGACTTCACCTTTTACCACCCTCCCTCTCACCGGTTCTTTGACTCCCGTGACGTCCGTTTCGAGGAGTCCACCCCCTACTACGTCAGGTACCCCAGTCGAGGTCTCCCGGTCCCTCCCCCCCCTCTCTTCCTGACCGCCGCTCCCCCGCCTGCTCCCCCGGTACAGCCTCCCCCCCTGGTCCAGCCCCGTCTGGTGTGTCTCAGGCTAGCCCTCCCCCTTCGGTAGCCCCCCCTGTACAGCCTCCCTCCCCACAGTCTTCCTCGCCGCCTCCTGCAGGTGCTCCCTCTCGGGAGGTTGGTCCTGCGACTGTCCCTGTACAGGTCTCTGGTTCTGGGGGTGCTGGAGTTGGAGCTGAGCCGCGGGTTGCAGAGGACTCTTGTCTTCCGGGGGCTGGTACTGGTCGTGCGGAGTCTGGGGGTGCTGCTGCGGAGTCTGGGGGTGCTGCGTCTGGGGGTGAGGGTGTCCCTTCGGTTTCTGGAGAGCCTGGGTCTGGAGCTGGTGTTGGTGCTGCCTCTGGGGGTGGTGTGCTTGGTGCTTCGGAGGTCGACTCTGGGGCTGCCGCTGCCCCGGACACTACTCCTTCCCCCCACCCCTACCCGACCAGGTTCCAGGCTCGTGTTCGCCGTGCTCGTGAGGAGCAGCTGGAGTTGGAGAGAGAGGAGAGAGAGTTGCAGCGGCTCGAGGAGCAGGAGCGACAGCAGCAGGGGCAGCAGCCGCTGGAGCAGCAGCAGCCGCAGCAGCCGCAGCAGCAGCAGCTGCCGTCTCCTCCTCCTGTCTCGGGTCTTCGGACCCTTGGTCTCCCCTCTCCCTCTCCTTCCTCCTCCCCCTCTCCTCCCGTCTCTGGTCCTCCGCTTCCTCCTCCTGACCCCTCTCCCGCTGTTTTCCCTCGTTCTCAGTCTTCGTTGTCCCCTCCTCCTTCTCAGACTTGGGCCTCTCGTCGCTCCCCTCGTGCTCGTCCCTCGTCTCCTAAACCCTTCACTGACCTTCGTACTGCCTTACTTCGTTCTAGTCCACCTCGTCCGTCTCCGTCTGTGCTTCCGTCTCCTCCTGAGTCGGCCCTCACTGCGTCGCTTCCTACTCCTGTCACTGACTACTACCGCACGTACCGTCCTCTTCTCTCTCGTGTTCTCGCCTCGCTTGTTACTCACCCTCGTGCCTCTGTGTCCTCTGTGTCCGCTCTTACTGCCGCAGTCACTGAGTTTGCCTCTACCCGCCGCCTTGACTTCGCCACCGCTCTTGTGGCTGCTCCTCCTTCCAGTCCTCTGGCCGTCGGGGGTGTGTCTGCCCTTGGCTGTGACGCCCTAGAGGACAGGCAGTTTGAGCTAGAGTTCTTGGCAGCCGCTTCCCCTCATCTCTGTGCCATGCTCCTCGCCCCTGAGGGTGACCCCGACGCCCTTGACATTCCGACTCCTCGCACTTACGCTGAGGCAGTGTCAGGGCCTTGGGCCTCTCAGTGGAGAGCTGCCATGGACGCAGAGATGGCCTCTTACAGATCCACAGGCACCTACGTCGATGAGGTTCCCCCTCCGGGGGCGAACGTAGTCGACGGCATGTGGATCTACAGGGTGAAGCGGCCACCGGGATCTCCTCCGGTCTTCAAGGCGCGCTACGTGGCTAGAGGTTTCAGTCAGCGCGAGGGAGTTGACTTCTTTCAGACCTTCGCGCCCACCCCGAAGATGACCACTCTTCGGGTGTTACTACACGTAGCAGCACAGAGAGACTACGAGTTACACTCTCTCGACTTCTCTACTGCTTTCCTTCAGGGCAGTCTTCACGAGGAGGTCTGGTTGCGTCGTCCCTCTGCCTTCACTGGCTCTTTCCCTCCTGGGACCCAGTGGAGGCTGAGGCGACCGGTTTACGGTCTTCGTCAGGCTCCTCGTGAGTGGCACGACACCCTGCGTTCTACCCTGTCTGACCTTGGGTTCCAGCCGTCTTCTGCTGACCCGTCGCTGTTCGTTCGTCGTGGCCCCACACCTTTCTTTGTTCTGGTCTACGTTGACGACCTTGTTTTCGCCACCCCTGACAGGGTTGCTTTAGCACACGTGAAGTCCGAACTGCAGAAGAGACACACCTGCACTGATCTTGGTGAGCTGCGCCACTACCTTGGCCTGCAGATCACCAGGGACAGAGCTGCTCGCACCATTACACTTTCACAGTCGCACATGGTGCAGCAGGTCCTTCAGCGGTTCGGGCTTCAGCACTCCACAGTACATCGCACACCTCTTGCTGTTGACCACAGACTCACTGGACCCTTTCCTGACGAGCCGTTCGAGCCTAGTGGTCCCTACGCAGAGCTTGTGGGTTGCCTCATGTACCTGATGACTTGTACTCGCCCAGACCTCGCCTTCCCTCTCAGCGTTCTTGCGCGCTTTGTTGCGCCAGGGAGACACCGTCCTGTTCACTGGACAGCAGCTGTGAGGGTGGCGAAGTACCTAGCGACGACGTCAGGCGTGGGGCTAGTTCTTGGAGGGCAGCAGTCTGTCGTACTTACTGGTCACTGTGACTCCTCTTACGCTGACGACGCTGAGACTCACAGGTCTACTCAGGGGTACTGTTTCAGCCTGGGTTCTGGAGCTGTTTCCTGGCGGTCCACGCGCTCCTCTTCGGTCTCGACCTCTACAGCTGAGGCTGAGATCTACGCTGGTGCCATGGCGGCACAGGAGCTGCGTTGGTTGACCTTCTTGCTCACCGACCTTGGTGAGCGGCCGAGCTCTGCACCGACCTTGTTCACTGACAACAAGGCGTCTATTCTCCTTTGTCGAGAGCCACGACTGGAGAGCAGAGTGAAGCACATTCACGTCAGGTACTTTCTTCTGCGAGAGTTGCAGAGGCGTGGACAGGCTCGCTTTGAGTTTGTGGAGTCCGAGGCCAACACTGCAGACATCTTCACCAAGGCGCTTCCGCCTTGTGACCACCAGAGGTGCTGTGTGCAGCTAGGCCTTGTTGACACTGGTTCTCGTGTTGCTTAGACTTGAGTGTACTGTTTACTTTGCTTTCTATATACCTCTGTTACTTCTTGGACTGGCCTTGTGGCCACTGTTGTTTGTGCTCAGACTGTGTGGTGACGTTGTGATCCACCCTGAGCTTCGTTTCTTGGACTGGTCTTGTGACCGTACTCGTTTGGTTCTGCTAGACACCCCTCACTTAGGCTATGGGGGTGTGTCAAATGTTGTAGCCTATAGTGAGGTTTGTCTTAGGGGGTACAAAACTTAGGGTTAGCTATATGTACCCCAACCAACATCAATGCATCATCCATTCTTCATTTTGGCACGCGCCCTAAATGGGTGAGGGTGTGCATGTACCCCTTGGTATGCACAAAAAGGGAAATGGAATTACCCAGTGTGGTGGAACAAACTCTCAGTTCGCAATACAACATGGGGAAGATACTCTTGAAACTAGGAACTTCAGGAAGTGAGAAGTGATGATTGGGAGGTGTACAAGAAGAATGTTTGAGAGTATTTTGTGCACCCCCGACCCGAGGATGTACACCAGTCTTGCTACTGTAATCCCCCGTGTATAAGACCCTAGGGTATTATGATAATCACCCCTAAAAAGGCTGGGGGGTACAATTATATGGTATACTTTTCAGAAGACCCTGGTCTGTTCATATTGACATTTATAAGAATGTAGTTTTGGAGCTCAAAGAAGTGATTTAGAGTTGCTCTGTTTTTAGCTCCTCCCAAAAATACTCGAATTGGTCTCCACACGGGCCGAACCCACGTCATCACGAACTCTATATGGGAGCCTCCCCCCATTGGCCACCAACACCACTTAGGATGGTAATGTGGGTGTGCATGTGCGTTCATGGGTGCGATTTCTTTTAATCATCATGGAATATGACCATTTTCAATTCCATATTTGTAAAATCCGCACGTCTCTAGGATGTGGAGGGGGTCTTATAATGTTACGAGCCATTTAGGGGGTATAACTCAGATGTACTCGAATAGAGTACCCGGGTCCGTATTATAGACCCGGGGGTCTACAACTGGGGGGGGGTCCTATATACGGGGGATTACGGTATTTCAATGCGCAGATGGTGCACGTAGTGTAGTAGCTTCGTATTCCACGTCATCCTCCACTACACTCCTCTCCCACCGCTTACCGCTACTACTACCGTAGCTCCTTCCAAAACTTCATGTGCACGATTGGTTGCCTCTGCATGTGTGAGGTGCTGTTTGGCTAGTACTACGTAAGCTCCCATGAGGAACCTCTGACTGTCAATGGAGCTCACGAACTGCCACTCCGCACCATTTTCAACCCACTATATGAAACACAGGTCATGTAAATATACTCCATGTAACAGCGATCACAATGATGGGTCAGTAACCAAGCTCTTCTGGAGTGTAGTTGAGCAGAGTCTGCAGTGCGCTGGGTGCAATCTTCCTAAGAACAAGGAAGCAGGAGTTCTGGTGACCACCCCAGGAGCACTTAGTGTCCCACTTGACCGACGTGAGAAAGTGCGGGGTGAGCTGCTCCCGTGTGTATTCCACTGGGTGCGGCCCCCCTGACCACATGGCCCACGTGGGCCCTCTCCTTGCCACGTGGTCCGGGTCTTTGATCTGGGGAGGGAGAGGAAGGGAGGAGAGGAGAAGTGCGGAGTGAGCGCCTCCCTTGTGTATTCCACTGGGTGCGGCCCCCCTGACCACATGGCCCACGTGGGTCCTCTCCTTGCCACGTGGTCCGGGTCTTTGATCTGGGGAGGGAGAGGAAGGGAGGAGAGGAGAAGCGCGGGGTGAGCTGCTCCCGTGTGTACTCCACTGGGTGTGGCCTCCCTCACCCCCCCTCCTCACCACGTGGTCTGGATCACGGATTTTTAAAGAGAGGGTGGGAGAGAGGAGGGAAAGTGAGGAGAGAGAGCGAGAGGGGGATGAGGGGGGAAAGGGACAGAGGCAGGATGTAAATCAGGAGTAGGGAAGGAGTGGTGAGACAGTGGTGATGAAGGGGGAAGGAATGGTGAGGGAATCTAGGGAATTAAGTAAAGGAAAGCACATTTAGGTGTACCTTGAGTAATGTTTGGAAATAATGCTCATCCAAATAGCAGTGCCGGTGCCAGTTGTCACCCTGCGATCGAGGTGATAAATGATACGTGGGGACACGTGGAGAGATGAGGGCAGGAAAGACAAACACCAGACATTGTCACCGATTTAATGACAAGAGATAAAAGTTGAACAGACGGGATTGGACCCATGACGGGACGGGACTGGGCTCACTTATGAAACACCTCCACGTATCCACAAGCAAGCCACCCGACTCCCCGGCGCTCACCTTGCACCACCTGGCGAGGGTGGGGTAGATGGTTGTGTCCGTGGCCGCAAGGAAGGCGTGGTGCCATGTCAGCGCCCACCACTGCATAGGACAGGATGAGTGGAGCAACAGAATGGAAGGAACGGAAGGTCATCTGAGAACCCTTGGAGCACGGATAGCATCAAATATGGGTTCAATACTGGGGATTCCTAGACTTGAGTGGAGTAAGAATAGAGTATACCTGCGAGCCCTTGGACCACTGGTTCCGTTGCACTTCCGGCTGCATGCGACTGCTGTAGTGCCCCATGCAGTGGGGGGGAAGGCATTGACAAAACTGCATGCGCATTCGAGCCACTCACTCACGGACCTGCGAGCCCTTGGACCACTGGTTCCTTTGCACTTCCGGCTGCATGCGACTGCTGTAGTGCCCCATGCAGTTCCAGTCATTGTTGCACGAACTGCCATGGTGTGAGAGGCGAGGGGTGATGGAAGAGGGGTGAGGGGCGAGGGAAGAAACTGGGGGCGGAGAAATGGAAGAAGCAACAGAAGAAAGATGGAATCGTCAAAAGAAGGCGCGTGGGTAAGCGGAAGTCCTACGATGGCAGTGCGTGCAGGCAGGTATTGAAGTGCATGCACGCGTTGCTTTGCCACCCACCTGTGCAGGAGGCTTTGGTTTTCCGCCATCAAGTAGCGATAGGTGAAGGGGAAGTCGTGCAGAGGCATGCATCTGTCAGGGGGATTGGGGTAAGAGGACACCCAAGCGTGAAAAGGACACATAATTGTGAGCAGGACATCCAAACCGTGAGTTTTTCTTCCCTTCGCCACGAGCCATCCCACCCACCCATGCACCCACCCACTCACCCACCCACCCACCCACCCATCCCCCAACACACCCAGACAATGATGAAGTGCTTGTTGGCCGGGTCCAGGAGTGCATTCGCCAGGAGCCAACCCACCCACTCACCCATGCACCCACGCTCCCACGCACCCACGCACGCATCCCCTTCCCCTTTTTCCCATCCCAACGTACGACTCAGATACGATGATGAATCGCTTGTTGGCCGGGTCCAGCAGCGCGTTCGCCAGAAGGCGTCGCTCTGCTGCCACCATGGAGGGGTCGCCCCACTGCACCTTCCCATCCCATCCCATCCCATCCCATCCCATCCCATCCCATCCCATCCCATCCCATCCCATCCAATACCACCCCATCCCCTCCCCTCACGTACGATTCAGAGAGAATGATGAAGCGCTTGTTGGCCGGGTCCAGCAGTGCGTTCGCCAGGAGCCGTCGCTCCGCTGCGACCATGGAGGGGTCGCCCCACTGCACCTTCTCATTCACTTCATCCCATCCCACCATCCCACCCCACGTACGATTCAGAGAGAATGATAAATCGCTTGTTGGCCGGGTCCAGCAGCGCGTTTGCCAGGAGGCGTCGCTCTGCCGCCACCATGGAGGGGTCGCCCCACTGCACCTTCTCGCTGGGGATCTCCCGCGCGTAGAACACAGGCGACGAGTCCAAGGGGTATTGAAACCCTGGCGTTGCATGCACGTAGACTGAGTACCGCTGCTCGTAGCCCTGGGAAGAGAATAACAGGGGAGACAAACGAGGACGCGAGGTTGGGAAGGGAAGGGGAAAATGCGGATTGTCATGCTTTCTCTCAATTTGCAGGAGGATGAAATCTCACCCGAAGGTACCTCTCCCATAGTCTACTAAGAGGCATGGGTCCACGTGTCAGGAATAGGAACGCGACTCGGTCCTCCTCCCCCTGGCCGCTCCCCTTGGGCTGCCCGTCGGGGTACAGCCTCCGCACCCTATCAAACAGCGCCACGTCAGCGGCGGATAAGACCGGCTCGTCCATGCTTCCGGGCGGCGGGCCTTGTCGTATCTCCTGGTCTGAGCATCTGTGACCGGTGAGGTTGACACAAGGAGACTCATCCTTGGCTAGAAGGCGGAGGTACGCCGGTGTGGGATCGGTCGGAGAACCCGCGAGGGACGGAGGGATGGAGGAGGATGCGGAAGAGGAAGAGGAAGATAAGGAGGAGGAAGAGTTTTCAGGTAATGTTCCGTGGGAAGAGGATGTGTCTGTGTGTTGGTGCGTCGTCGAGCGACCGTAGCTGTCGCGGGTTTCGCCGGCGTCTAGAACGGATTCTGAGCTCCCGAGGCTTCGCAAATGCCTTCGCAGCGACGGCGAAAGCAGCACGGTAACCGTGAGAAATGCGGATATTCCCAAGGCGACGGGGAGGATGCTGCGTTTGGTGCTACGGCCCTTGGGATTCGAGCGTCTCGAACCACTGCCAGCGGAATTGGCGCTCCCCGTTGAAACCCCTCCTTTCGCAGCAGCAATCGGCATCTTTAAATCACCTCCGGGTAGCTCACAGAAATTCACGAAATCGTGGAAGATTTTAAGCCGAGCATCTTAGACTGTTTATAGCACAAACTCTGTCACAACAGCGCCGTCTTCATGGAACATAACTTGCAGCCGTTTCGACATGGAATGCTGCGCACATTACGGTGCTTCTATGCTCGCCTTTCCACATCCAGTGGATTGGGAAAAACTCGAGCAAGCAGATTTGAGTCAGGCAAAATGACTGACGGAATCTGACAACCAATCTGGGTCAGCCCCGCAGCGCCAAACAGAACCTGTCAGGATGCGTCCCAAACCAACCCAGCCCAACCGAAATCAACCCAGGAGATCTCAATTTCAAATACAGATCCGCGGTGCAGCATGTCTGTTTTACTGTACCTCGTGAAACCTTGCGGTACAGTACATGTACACTATCAAAAACTTTCGCATCAGAAACACGGATTTGCTTTCGGCCTTGGGATCTCCCCAGAGCCCTTCAGTGAAGCGTGTGGGTGAAGCTCCCCTTGATCATTGACAGAGGGCACCATATTCACAGGAATCTGTTGAAGTGGCCATTTTCCTCCATTTCTCTTTCTGAGATGCTCCATTCCAGGGCCAAATCAGCCGTTCGTCCCGGGAAGCTCCTTTCCCGTTATATCACTAATCATCGATCGTTTTCAAGGGAGTTATCCTCTGAGTTCGCGCGGACCTGCTTAACCCGCTGCGAGCGCGTTAATCTAGGAGGTGTCGAATCCGGAAGGCTCGATCTTGGTAGACCTGCGATGCTTCACGCTAGCGTACCGTCCGACGCGCTCGCGTGTCTGCCGTTACGCAGCCTACGCAGCACACCCGTCGCCGTCACGAACCTGCATCAGTCCCCGTCTCGCTCATTCGTCACGTCAGGCACCCCATCCTCGCTCCTACCTTCCAACCGTAGGCCTTCCCGTCGTCTCCTCCCAGGTCTTTCGTCCTCCGTCGTAGCCCTTCCGATCCCATTCTCAGGCTCGTCACTTTCATTCCTTGTTCGCGCTCTCCCTCCGCCACTGACTGGCCTGCCCACGTCTGGCCGGAGTCTCTTTACCTCGGGATTTCCGTCCCCGTCGAAATCCCGCCGCGATGAGCGGAGGCTGGGGATTGCGCCAGGTGGGGAAGCGAGGCGGGTGCGCGCGCAGGGTTTTGCAGGGGATGCGGGGACGAGTGTTGCGGAGGTGGTCGAGGTAGAGGCGGAGGGGAGAGGAGAGGTTAGCGGAGCGGAAGGGGAGAAGGCGGAGAAGCTTCAGTATGTGCCGTTGCACACGCACAGCGACTTCAGCCTTCTAGACGGAGCCAGCCAGGTGCGTGGGTAGGCCCTTGTATCCCCTTACAACGAGTAGACCGAGTAGAACGAGTACCGCGAGTAACGCGAGTAGTAGCACGTCTGATCTGATCTTGGCGCTTGTCATTCCCGGCGCGTCCTGACTTTCCCCATCCTCTTGCTCCTGCTGTATACTCCACGTGATGGCAGCTGAAGGGACTGGTGGCACGGGCCAAGGAGCTTAACATGCCTGGCATTGCACTCACTGACCACGGTGGTGAGCCTGCTGCGCTTCACTTACACGTATGATTAAGTCAGAATCAGGTGACTGATTACCTGTAGACACTCTGATTCACCGCGGACAGACGAAAGCAGTGTCTTGCATCTTAGCTATCTTCCATCTGTCAACCCCCCTTGCCTATCCACGCCTTACCCACCCATCTCTCCTCTCCTGCCTATCCACGCCACGCCTTACCCACCCATCTCTCCTCTCCTGCCTATCCACGCCACGCCTTACCCACCCATCTCTCCTCTCCTGCCTATCCACGCCACGCCTTACCCACCCATCTCTCCTCTCCTGCCTATCCACGCCACGCCTTAACCACCCATCTCTCCTCTCCTGCCTTCGCTCTTTCACCACGCTCCCGTTCCAGTCAAGTAAAGCCCTACTGGGTGGTTCTTGAGGTGCATTGCAAACACCCTCCACCTCTGTCCCCTCTCCCCTTCCCCGCAGTGATGTACGGTGCCCTCCAGCTGGTGCGCATGTGCGAGGCGGAGGGCTTAAAGCCCGTGATCGGCAACGAGATGTACCTCGTGCATGACGAAGGGGCTCCTGCCGCTCTGCTGCAGGCCGCACGGGCCCTCAGGGAGGAGAGGGAACAGGGAGAACAGGGGGAGCAGGGGGTGATGAGGGAGGAGATGGAGGAGAGGGGGACGGGAAGTGGTATGGGAGGGGCGGAGGGGGAGGGGGATGGGGGAGGAGGAGGAGAGGTGGTATTGGAAAGAGAAACGGAGGCTGGTGGTGTTGTGAAGGGGAGTGGTAGTGGAGAGGGGGATGTGGAGCGAGGGGCAGGGGGGAGGTGGCAGAAGGGCTGGCTGGGGAGGAGCAGGCTGGGGAGGCGGAGGCCGGTGGGGCAGGCAAGGCGGTTAAAGCGCCCCCTGTCAAAAGGTGAGTGCATGAAGGGCGGATTGGCTGGAAGGGGAGAAATGATACATTGCAATTTAAGGTAGGCGCGGCATTTGAAGTAAGGGGAGGTATTTCCATCCGTGCCTGTGCTTCCCCCATGCGCCCACCCATCCTGGAGGTACCACCTGACTGTTCTAGTCAAGGACATGGAGGGATAGCGGAACTTGGTGCCACTCTGTGGGGTGCCTCAACATCCCCCATGCATCCACGTCCTCCCACCCCACCCCGCAGGTACCACCTGACTGTTCTAGCCAAGGACATGGAGGGATACAGGAACCTGGTGCAGCTCACATCGATCTCGCACCTGCATGGCATGGTGGTGAGTCTGTAGTGCATTCTTGGTGTGAGAAGGAGTCATGGATTGGAGGTGGGACCACCAAGGCCTGACCCCTGTTCTCAGCTGTTTGCCGTTTCACTTTGTTCTTATAACCACTTGCCGTGCTGACAGGTGAGGCTTGATAGTGAAATACCGTCCATTTTTTTCCCTGTGTGTAACGTTGGTTCCGCATCACGGCAGGGCAACGGGGCAAGAGCGCGTCCGTGCATCACAAGGTGGGTGCGCATGCATTGCATGCGGCATGAATCATCATCTCAACTGTTGAGAAGCGTCCACATTCACTTGTGCACCCGTTTTCCCAATCAGTTGACCCGCATACCCTGCATGTGACAGGGCTTTGGCTGATCTGCATCCTCTTTTCCTCCCCGCATCTCCATTCCGTTGCTTTTGCAGGGAGCTGCTGGCGCATCACAGGAAGGGACTCATTGTGCTGAGTGGATGCATGTCAGGGGAGGTACGCTGAATGAGTTATGCCATCGAATGCTGCTTTGTACACATCATTCGTGAGACATGCGTGCGTGAATCGACACATGCTCCATGCACTCATGGATGCCACATGCATCACGCAGTGGCCTTGCACTGCCCTGTATCTGCTCTTCGTTCTCCACCCTCCCGCTAATCCAAGCGCTGATCAGTCAGCGCTTGTGTGAGTGCCAGGTCCTGCTTGTGCATTGTACTTTTCAGTCACTGTTCCTTCAATCTATTTCCCGCCACCCTCTCTCCCTGTGCGTGAATGCCAGGTACCGCGTGCCATCATGGCGGATCGCATGGACGAGGCTCGAAGCACAGTTGCCTGGTGAGCCATTCCTTGCATGTGTCCCTTCCTTGCATGTGTCTTTTCCTTGCATGTGCTGCATCACATCACATCGTGCTTGCAAGCAAGTACACGAGCTCTCCTTGGCCCCTATCTACGACACACCTACTCTCTATAGCTGATAAGCCATATCCCTTCGGGCCAAACCCCCTTCCACATCTCCCCTCACTACTTCTCCCACCTGGTTCCTGCATGCATGCAGGTACCACTCCGTGTTTGGGGCGGACTTTTACCTGGAGGTGATGGACCACGCCATGCCTGTGTACCCCCTCCTTAGCCCCCTTATTGCCTCACCCGTTATGTCTCATCGCACAGGTACCGCTCGGTGTTTGGGGCGGACTATTACTTGGAGGTGATGGACCACGGGCGCATTGACTTTGGTAGCGGCTACGACGTCAACGCCAAGATCAACCGCGCCCTGCTGCAGCTGTCCCAGGAGACGGTGAGGGGGATGCGCGGGGAAGGGGATGCGAGGTGAGGGGGGAATGCGGGTTGGGGGGGATGCAAGGGTAAGGGGGATGCATGGTCATGTGGCTACGACGTCAACGCCAAGATCAACCATGCAAGGGTAAGGGGGACGCCAAGGGTAAGGGGGATGCAAGGGTAAGGGGGACGCCAAGGTCATGTGGTAAGGGGGCTGCAGCTGCCCCAGGAGACGGTGAGGGGGGTGGACGAGGGGGGATGAGGGTTGGGGGAGGCAGGGTGAGGTGGCTTTGATGTCAACGCCAGTATCAACCATGCGCTGCTGCAGCTGCCCCAGGAGAGGAATGGGCGGTGAGGGTGACGAGAGGAGTGACCTGATGCTCATTTTCTCATCCGTTGTTCAACTGTCTTAGAGCCCCTCAAGTCACTGTTCCCCATTTCCCCACCTTCTCCCCCCATTCCTTCCATCCACCTGCGCCTCCCCCTCCCTCCATCTCCCCCAGGGCGTGCCCCTGGTGGCCACCAACGACTCTCACTTCACCCGGGCGGCAGACCACAGGGCGCATCAAACCCTCGTCTCTGTCAAGGTCTGTGCCCTTGGGCTCTGCAATGCTAGAACAATTCACGAAAGGATCTCTTATGTTCTTCTTGCATGTCTCTGTCCTGCTTTTCTTCCGTTGCACCAATGTTGGCTGCTCATGCTCTCTGCAACCGCCCTTGTGTGTGCATTGCAGGCAGGGAAGAATCTTGTCCAAGCATACACGTAAGTTGCCTGCCTACGTTGGTAGCAGTACTCACAATCACTTTCACCACCACCGCTAATTCGATTCTCTAGTATTTTGCTTGCAAGCTTTCTTCTTAACGAATCTGTGGCAAGACTCGTCTGGCGTATCTTAATCCGCGCATGACATGATATCACATCAGGGGACAGGAGTATGTCAAGTCGCCAGAGGAAATGCTGGAGAGTCTGCAGAGGACTCTTTCCGAGGAGCATGCGCTGGAAGCCCTTCACAACTCCCTGCGCATTGCTGACAAGGTGAGCCTATCTGCCTCTCACATGGCTTTTGGTTTGGTTCGACTCTAATGCCACCGAGGAGTTTCTCCACAGCCTGCAGAGGACTCTCTATTTGAGGCGCCTCAAATGTCCTCTCACATGGCTCTTGGTTTGGTTCGACTCTAATGCCACCGAGGAGTTTCTCCACAGCCTGCAGAGGACTCTCTATTTGAGGCGCCTCAAATGTCCTCTCACATGGCTTTTGGTTTGGTTCGACTCTAATGCCACCGAGGAGTTTCTCCACAGCCTGCAGAGGACTCTCTATTTGAGGCGCCTCAAATGTCCTCTCACATGGCTTTTGGTTTGGTTCGACTCTAATGCCACCGAGGAGTTTCTCCACAGCCTGCAGAGGACTCTCTATTTGAGGCGCCTCAAATGTCCTCTCACATGGCTCTTGGTTTGGTTCGACTCTAATGCCACTAAGGAATTGCTCCAGAGCCTGCAGAGGACTCTCGTCTCGCCTGGGAGCACGCTGTAGAAGCTATCTCAAGCCCTTCCTGAGTCGCCTGCCCTCCCCTCGCCCCACGTGGCCTCCTACTCCTTTGACCTCTTCTCCTCCAAGCCCAAGCTGCATCCCAAGCCCTTTTTGCGTCCCCATCCTCTCCCCTCGCCCCTCCCCTCGCCCCTCCGCTCGCCTCTCCCCTCGCCCCTCCCCTCGCCCCTCCCCTCGCCCCTCCCCTCGCCCCTCCCCTCGCCCCTCCCCTCGCCCCTCCCCTCGCCCCTCCTCTCGCCCCTCCCCTCGCCACTCCCCTCGTCCATCTCCTCGCCTTTCCTCTCGCCCTTGCCCCAGGTGACCTCCTACTCCTCCGACCTCTTCTCCTCCAAGCCCAAGCTGCCCACCTTCGATGTGCCTCCCGGCCACACCGATGCTTCGTGGCTTGAGGTGAGGGCGTGTGAGAGGGGAGGGGCAGAGGGACAGGGACGGCTACGGAAATGACGGGGGGAAGGGCCGGTACAAAGCTGCCCACCTTCGATGTGCCTCCGGCCACACCGACGCCTCGTGGCTTGAGGTGCGTGTGGGGTTGGGTGGGGGGAGAGGAGACACAGGGGGGCATTGGATGTTTGAGGAAGTGATGGGGCAGTGAGGGCGCGAAACAAAATTGAGAGGAGAGGAATGTAGAGTAGAGGAGAGGAGGGGGAGTCGTCATGTCATTGATCTTGCTGTTGATCTTTCATGTTTTTCTCTGCGTGATCCCGTGATTCCTTGAACTTACTATTCCGTGCGGACACATGTCGGTTCCATGTGTGCATGCATGCATGCGTACATTCCTGCTTGTGTGGCATCAGAGTGAGGCGCGGAGGGGGCTGCAGGCATTGATGGGCGTGCACACGTGGGAGGCAGTGCCCCAGCAGTACAGGGAGCGACTAGACCTGGAACTCAGGGTCATTTGCAACTATGGTCTCTCTGCCTACTTCCTCGTATGTGTCCTCCTTGTCATCCCATACTTCAAGTCGACTCACAAGTCCTTCCTGCAAGTTTTCCCACTCCGTTTCTCTGCATGCTTCCGCAACACCATCCTAGCAACCTGGGCACCTCTCTCGCATCCCGCCGCCCCTCTCCACCCCTCCCTCCTCACCTCTGGAGCATATATTGTCGGACATCTTTCAATTGTCGGTGAGTTTTGATTCGACTCAAAAGTCTCCCCGCCCCTCCCCACCCCTCCCCGCCCCTCGCTGCCCCTCTCCGCCCCTCCCCGCCCCTCGCTGCCCCTCTCCGCCCCTCCCCGCCCCTTCCCACCCCTCTCCGCCCTTCCCTGCCCTTCTCCACCCTTCCCCACCGCTCCTGCCCCTCACCTCTCGAGCAGATAGTGGCGGACATCATTCAGTTCGCTCGCAGGAACGACATTCCCGTGGGCCCGGGCAGGTGAGGCAGGGCGCCGATGGGGGGGGACTGATTGAGTAAGCCAGATGCCGTATTTCACTGAGATGATGCTCGCTGGTATGAGGCTTGTTTGGGTGAAACTTGGTTTGTGGTTTGAACCGAACTAACTACATTCTCATGGGACAGGGCAGGTGAGGCAGGCATATGAGATGAAGGGAAACGAGTGGCATGGCAGTGCTGCTTGGGGGCTCATTTTGGCGTGGCTACTTGTATGAAGTTCACTTGCAGAAGAGCCTTTTTTTAAGGTGTGCTGCTATTTTGAGCAACAGATAACGCCAGAGTGTGAATCAACTCGGTATCCCCTCTTCTGTCTCCCTTCCCCCCCCACTCCCCCCCTCCCCCCTCCGCCCTCCAACGGGCGACCTCAGGGGTTCAGCAGCAGGGTCGCTAGTGGCATACGCGCTGGAGATCATTTCCATTGACCCCATCGAGCATGGTGAGTGAGTAAGAGCATAGTGAGCGAGTGAGCGGTCCCTGCCCCTTTATGTGCTCCCTGCCGTACCCCAAGTGCGCACCCTTTGGGTCAGCAGCGGGATCCATGGTGGCATACGCGCCAGAGATCATTTCCATTGATCCCATCGAGCATGGTGAGTGAGGGGCCATGCTTTGCCAGGCCATGCCATGCCATGCCAGGCCATGCCATGCCATGCCATGCCAGGCCATGCCATGCCATGCCATGCCATGCCATGCCATGCCATGCCAGGCCATGCCATGCCATGCCATGCCATGCAATGCCATGCCAGGCCATTCGAGGCCATGCAATGCCATGCCATGCCATGCCATGCCATGCCAGGCCATGCCATGCCAGGCCATGCCATGCCATGCCATGCCAGGCCATGCCATGCCATGCCATGCCATGCCATGCCATGCCATGGCAGGCCATGCCATGCCATGCCATGCCATGCCATGCCATGCCAGGCCATGCCATGCCATGCCATGCCATGCCATGCCATGCCATGCCATGCCATGCCATGCCATGCCAGGCCATGCCATGCCATGCCATGCCATGCCATGCCAGGCCATGCCATGCCATGCCATGCCATGCCATGCCATGCCATGCCATGCCATGCCATGCCATGCCAGGCCATGCCATGCCATGCCATGCCATGCCATGCCAGGCCATGCCATGCCATGCCATGCCATGCCAGGCCATGCCATGCCATGCCATGCCATGCCATACCAGGCCAGGCCCGTGCCATGCCATGCCATGCCATGCCATGCCATGCCATGCCATGCGATGCCATGCCATGCCATGCCAGGCCAGGCCCATGCCATGCCATGCCATGCCATGCCATGCCATGCCAGGCCATGCCATGCCATGCCATGCCGTGCCATGCCATGCAATGCCACTGCCCTGCCATGCCACTGCCATGCCATGCCATGCCATGCCACTGCCATGCCATGCCATGCCATGCCACTGCCATGCCACTGCCATGCCATGCCACTGCCATGCCATGCCACTGCCATGCCACTGCCATGCCATGCCATGCCACTGCCATGCCATGCCATGCCACTGCCATGCCACTGCCATGCCATGCCATGCCATGCCACTGCCATGCCACTGCCATGCCATGCCATGCCATGCCATGCCATGCCACTGCCATGCCACTGCCATGCCACTGCCATGCTATGCCACTGCCATGCCATGCCACTGCCATGCCACTGCCATGCCATGCCATGCCATGCCGTGCCATGCCATGCCATGCCATGCCATCCCATGCCATGCCATGCCATGCCATGCCACTGCCATGCCATGCCATGCCATGCCATGCCACTGCCATGCCATGCCATGCCATGCCATGCCACTGCCATGCCACGCCATGCCATGCCACGCCATGCCATGCCACGCCATGCCACGCCATGCCATGCCACGCCATGCCATGCCATGCCGTGCCATGCCATGCCATGCCATGCCATGCCACGCCATGCCATGCCATGCCATGCCATGCCATGCCATGCCACTGCCATGCCACTGACATGCCATGCCATGCCATGCCATGCCATGCCACTGCCATGCCATTGCCATGCCATGCCACTGCCATGCCACTGCCCTGCCATGCCATGCCACTGCCATGCCATGCCATGCCACTGCCATGCCATGCCATGCCATGCCATGCCATGCCTTGCCATGCCATGCCATGCCATGCCATGCCATGCCACTGCCATGCCATGCCATGCCACTGCCATGCCATGCCATGCCATGCCATGCCATGCCATGCCACTGCCATGCCACTGCCATGCCATGCCATGCCGTGCCATGCCATGCCATGCCATGCCACTGCCATGCCATGCCACTGCCATGCCATGCCACGTCCATGCCATGCCATGCCATGCCATGCCATGCCACTGCCATGCCATGCCATGCCATGCCATGCCATGCCACTGCCATGCCATGCCATGCCATGCCACTGCCATGCCATGCCATGCCATGCCACTGCCATGCCATGCCATGCCATGCCACTGCCATGCCATGCCATGCCATGCCACTGCCATGCCATGCCATGCCATGCCACTGCCATGCCATGCCACTGCCATGCCACTGCCATGCCATGCCATGCCACTGCCATGCCACTGCCATGCCACTGCCATGCCACTGCCATGCCACTGCCATGCCATGCCACTGCCATGCCAAAGCCATGCCATGCCATGCCACTGCCATGCCATGCCATGCCATGCCATGCCATGCCACTGCCATGCCATGCCATGCCATGCCACTGCCATGCCACTGCCATGCCATGCCACTGCCATGCCATGCCATTCCATGCCATGCCATGCCATGCCATGCCATGCCATGCCATGCCATGCCACTGCCATGCCACTGCCATGCCATGCCATGCCACTGCCATGCCATGCCATGCCATGCCATGCCATGCCATGCCATTCCATGCCATGCCATGCCATGCCATGCCATGCCACTGCCATGCCATGCCACTGCCATGCCATGCCATGCCACTGCCATGCCATGCCATGCCATGCCATGCCATTCCATGCCATGCCATGCCATGCCATGCCATGCCATGCCACTGCCATGCCATGCCATGCCATGCCATGCCACGCCATGCCATGCCACGCCATGCCACGCCATGCCATGCCATGCCACGCCATGCCATGCCACGCCATGCCATGCCACGCCATGCCATGCCACGCCATGCCATGCCATGCCATGCCATGCCACTGCCATGCCACTGCCATGCCATGCCATGCCATGCCACTGCCATGCCATGCCATGCCATGCCATGCCATGCCATGCCATGCCATTCCATGCCATGCCATGCCATGCCATGCCATGCCATGCCATGCCACTGCCATGCCATGCCACTGCCATGCCATGCCATGCCATGCCACTGCCATGCCATGCCATGCCACTGCCATGCCATGCCATGCCATGCCATGCCACTGCCATGCCATGCCACTGCCATGCCATGCCATGCCATGCCATGCCAGGCCATGCCATGCCATGCCATGCCATGCCATGCCATGCCATGCCACTGCCATGCCATGCCACTGCCATGCCATGCCACTGCCATGCCATGCCATGCCATGCCACTGCCATTCCATGCCATGCCATGCCATGCCATGCCATGCCATGCCATGCCACTGCCATGCCATGCCATGCCATGCCACTGCCATGCCATGCCACTGCCATGCCATGCCATGCCATGCCATGCCATGCCACTGCCATGCCATGCCATGCCATGCCATGCCATTCCATGCCATGCCATGCCATGCCATGCCATGCCATGCTATGCCATGCCATGCCATGCCATGCCATGCCATGCCACTGCCATGCCACTGCCATGCCATGCCATGCCATGCCATACCATGCCATGCCAGGCCATTCCAGGCCATGCAATGCCATGCCAGGCCATGCAATGCCATGCCGTGCCATGCCATGCCATGCTATGCCATGCCATGCCATGCCATGCCATGCCATGCCATGCCAGGCCATGCCATGCCATGCCAGGCCATGCCATGCCATGCCAGGCCATGCCATGCCATGCCATGCCAGGCCATGCCATGCCATGCCATGCCATGCCAGGCCATGCCATGCCATGCCATGCCATGCCAGGCCATGCCATGCCATGCCATGCCATGCCAGGCCATGCCATGCCATGCCATGCCATGCCATGCCATGCCATGTCATGCCATGCCAGGCCATGCCATGCCATGCCATGCCATGCCATGCCATGCCATGCCATGCCAGGCCATGCCATGCCATGCCATGCCATGTCATGTCGTGCCGTGCCGTTGTGCCGTGCCATCGTGCCGTGCCGTCATGCCGTTGCGCCATTGCCCTCTTGCGCTCTTGCGTGGCGCTGTGCGTTGTTGTGCTGGCCCCGGAGATCATCTCTGTACCCACTACCCATCGAGGACGGTGAGTGAGCGAGAGGTCAATTCTTTGCACCCAGCCTCGCCATGCGGGGCTCATTGAACTGCACCACCCTCTCACTCACCTTGTTTCTGTCCCTCCATCCTCTCCCTTTTTGTGTCCCCCGTCCTCTTTCCCACGTCCTCTTACCGCAAGCGCAATGCTCCAGCTGTTGCCTGACAGAATTCCTCATCCCATCATCCCCTCAACTCCTCAACCCTGATCCCGCCATCACATGTACCTTTCAAGGCTGTTCATTAAGCAATTTCTGAATGAGGAAAGGTTTGCCCTTCGTCAAAGTCCCTCCTTTCCCTGCTCTCCACGGCACCCCTTCCTTCCATTCCCCACATCTCCCATTCCGCGAACACACTGCTCCTCCCCACAGGGCTCTACTTTGAGCGCTTTCTGAACGAAGAACGGCTGGCTCCTCCCGATATTGACTCCGACTTCTGCCCTCTCGGGCGGGATAAGGTGGGTGCGTTGCGGTGGAATGCGGTGCCTGCTGTAAGGCGGTGAAGGGGAAAGATCACGAGAGGTTCCGCGTGCGACACGCACAGGATCGGGCAGAAGAATACAGTTACTGCTGGTACCTGCAGTGCCAAGAAACACTTGGTTCGTTGCCTCTTCCCTGCTTAAAATCACAGAAGATGCACCCATTCCGTCTCTCGCTGCCCCACCCTTCTTAGCCGCCCTGCAACGCACCCTCTCTGCCCCTCCCGTTCCCACTCGTGCCTCTCCCCGTCAGATCCTGGCATACATCGCATGGGAGAGAAGTACGGCGCTCACAGGGTGGCACAGATTGCAACCTTCAACCGCATGGCAACAACATCCTTTCCGTTCCCACTCCCACGTTTCTTCCTCTCCCTGCCTTTCCCCATCAGATTCTGGCATACATCGCGGAGAAGTACGGCGCGCACAGGGTGGCACGGATTGCTATGCTCAACGGCAGGGAAATTAGAACACCCTCATTCACCCTCCCACTCCCGCTTCTCCCTTTGCACCTCTCCCCATCAGATCCTGGCATACATTGCAGAGAAGTATGGCGCTCACAGGGTGGCACAGATTGCAACGTTCAACCGCATGGGATCACGTGCCGTGCTCAAGGACGTGGGGCGCGACATGCAGATTCCTCTCAACATCATGAACGAACTCACGAAGCTGGTGAGGGGCTGGTGACGGGAAGTCATGAGAGGGAGAGCGTGTGATGTCAACCGCATGGGGTCACGTGCCGTGCTCAAGGACGTGGGACGCGACATGCAGATTCCTCTCAACATCATGAACGAACTCACTAAGCTGGTGAGTGAGAGTGAGAAGGAGAGAAGGTGTGGTTCAACCGCATCGGGTCGCGTGCTGTGCTCAAGGATGTGGGGCGCGACATGCAGATCCCTTTGAACATTATGAACGAGCTTACAAAGCTGGTGAGTGAGAGTGAGGGGCAACGAGATTCTGTTTCACGCGTTGAACTGCCGTGCTCAAGGACGTGGGGCGCGACATGGAGACTCCTCTCAACATTATGAACGAGCTTACGAAGCTGGTGAGGGGCTGGTGACGGGAAGTCATGAGAGGGAGAGCGTGTGATGTCAACCGCATGGGGTCGCTAGCTGTGCTCAAGGACGTGGGGTGCGACATGTTGACTCCTCTCAACATTATGAACGAGCTCACGAAGTTGGTGAGAGGAGGATAATGAGAGGGTGTGCAAGTGTGAATAGCTGGATGCGTTGATGTACTGTGAAGGACGTGGGGTGCGACATGGAGATTCCTTTCAACCTGCTGTACGAACTTATGAAGCTGGTGAGTGAGAGAATGGGAGACGGTAAAGCAGGGTGTGGGACATACGATTGGTCAAGACATGGGGAGAGACATGGAACATCCTGACAACGGGGGTGGGTAATGGTAACGGAGGTGCGTAATGGTAAGGGGGTGCGTATTTGTAATGGGGTGCGTAATGGTAATGGGGTGCGTAATGGTAGTGGGGTGCGAAATGGTAGTGGGGTGCGAAATGGTAGTGGGGTGCGAAATGGTAGTGGGGTGCGTAATGGTAATGGGGTGCGTAATGGAGGTGCGTAATGGTAGTGGGGGTGCGTAATGGTAGTGGGGGTGGGGTGCGTAATGGTAGTGGGGGTGCGTAATGGTAGTGGGGTTGCGTAATGGTAGTGGGGGTGCGTAATGGTAGTGGGGGTGCGTAATGGTCTGAATCCAATCTGCACGTGTGCATTGAGTGCAGGTGCCAGTGGAGAGGGGCAAGGCAGTGTCACTGAGCATACGCATGGTGGCCTCAACTCCGTATGCCCGTCCCACCTGCTACCTGTTGCTTTGTTTCACCCGTCCATTGGCTGCAGGTGCCAGTGGAGAGGGGCAAGGCAGTGTCGCTGAAAACCCTCATGGCGGAGAACACACCCTTCAGGAGACGCGTGTGCCTTTCCCATGTGCCATCCCTCCAATGCCCTCCAATGCCCTCCAATGCCCTCCAGTGCCCTCCAATGCCCTCCAATGCCCTCCAATGCCCTCCAATGCCCTCCAGTGCCCTCCAATGCGCTTTGCATGTGTGGCTGCAGGTGCCAGTGGAGAGGGGCAAGGCAGTGTCGCTGAAAACCCTCATGGCAGAGAACACACCCTTCAGGAGACGCGTGTGCCTTTCCCATGTGCCATCCCTCCAATGCCCTCCAATGCCCTCCAATGCCCTCCAGTGCCCTCCAATGCCCTCCAATGCCCTCCAATGCCCTCCAATGCCCTCCAATGCCCTCCAGTGCCCTCCAATGCGCTTTGCATGTGTGGCTGCAGGTGCCAGTGGAGAGGGGCAAGGCAGTGTCGCTGAAAACCCTCATGGCGGAGGACACGCCTTTCAGGAGACGCGTGGAGAGGGATGCAATGGTGAGTGCGGTGCAGTGCGGTGCTGCAGTGGATTGCAGCAGTATGTGCGTGGGAGTTGATGTGTGGGCATGGCCGACTAGGTAAGCTCAGTGGAGAGGGGAAAGGCTGTGTCTCTGAAGACCCTCATGGCGGAAGACACCCCCTTCAGGAGACGCGTGGAGAGGGACGCCATGGTAAGCTCGTTCTCCTTGAAACTCACCATGGTTTCTCTCACCTTCCCCTCATACTCCTTGCTCATTTCTTTCACCATTCTCACACTTTCTTCTCACCTTCACGTCACGTTCTTCCGTACCTATGTTGCACTGCATGCAAGCCTCGTCTTCTTCTCTCTCGCCCGTCCGTCCTCCGTGCATCTGCAGCTCCTGCAATGCGTGGAGTTGGGCCAGCTGTTGGAGGGCACCAACCCAACCGTTTCTTTGGCTGAGTCTGGTCTTATGGAGCACAATAGTCATGGCCACAACCCTCTTCCTCCTCACCCACCCACCCGCATCTCCTCTGTGCGTGTACAGCTGCTGCAATGTGTGGAGCTGGGCCATCTATTATGGCCGAAATGATCGTAACTGCAAACCCTCATTTCCTCCTCACCTACCCTCTCATCTCTCCCCTGTGCGTGCACAGCTCTTACAATGCGTGGAGTTGGGGCAGCTATTGGAGGGCACCAACCGCTCCTTTGGTGTGCATGCAGCCGGCATCATCATCTCGCCCGCCTGCTTCCCACTCTCCCAGGTCAGCGCTCTTCATTCTTATCCCACACTCTCACTCTTTCCCATCATTCACTGGTTTCAACCTCTCGTTGTCAACCATTCAATGCTCGCAGGATGTTTCTGCCTCGTCCGAGCATCTTATGCTGAGATCCATGCCTCAAACCGAAACCTGTTAACCAACAAGCCTGGAAACCTGAAACCCCCCACCCCCCCAGGTGGTACCAGTGCAGTACGCCATGGACGATGTGGTGTGGAGCGACTGGGCCTGCTCAAGTTTGACATTCTCGGTCTGCACCTTTCTCTGATGTATCATCATGACCCACCTCTCCCACCCCTCCCAGGTGGTGCCAGTGCAGCACGCACCAGGCAACCCTTCTGCTCTCGTCAGCCAATACGCGATGGATGACGTGGAGCGGCTGGGCCTGCTCAAGTTTGACATTCTCGGCCTGCGCAACCTCACCACAGCCCACCTCGCGCGCCAGCTCGCGCAGCGCACGTACGGCGTGACCCTCCCGGTGATTGAGAAGCTTCCGGTGGAGAACAGGCAGAGACGTTGCATTGTGTGACACCCCAAACCCCCTTCCTCCCTCCCAGGTGGTGCCAGTGCAGCACGCCCCAGGCAACCCCTCCGCCCTCGTCAGCCAATACGCCATGGACGATGTGGAGCGACTGGGTCTGCTCAAGTTTGACATTCTCGGCCTGCGCAATCTCACCACAGCCCACCTCGCACGGCAGCTCGCACAGCGCACGTACGGCGTGACCCTCCCGGTGATTGAGAAGCTTCCAGTGGAGAACCGGGCGACGTTTGAGCTGCTGTCGGGGGGCGACGTGGACGGGGTGTTTCAGCTGGAGGCGTCTCCTGGGATGAAGAAGGTGGTCAGGGCGCTCAAGCCGTCGAGCCTTGCGGATATCTTTGCTATCGTTGCTCTCTATCGGCCTGGGTGAGTAAGCAGAGGCGGGGTGAGTAGAGGACCCGCACGGTGTTTGAGGCACTGGGAGGGAGGGGCGACGTGGACGGGGTGTTTCAGCTGGAGGCGTCTCCCGGCATGAGGAAGGTGGTTCGTGCGCTCAAGCCGTCATGCCTCGCGGATATCTTTGCTATTGTTGCGCTCTACCGCCCTGGGTGAGTAACTAGAGGCATGAGAAGTGGCAGGCTTTCAGGGTCGACTCAAGAATAACAGGACCCAAAAATATTCGACCCAAAAAGGTGGGCAGTTTCCAAGAATAACGAGACCTCGCTTCCTTCACCCCTCCGTTGTTCCCATTTTTCCCCTTCACCCCCACCAGCCCTCTCGATGCAGGGCTGGTGGATCGCTACATCAACCGCAAGCACGGGCGCGAACCAGTCTCCTTCCAAACCCCTGCACTGGAACCCATTTTAAAGGAGACATATGGAGTGCTGCTGTACCAGGAGCAGATCATGCGCATGGCGGGGTACTTTCTGGGGCAGGCGGACATGCTGCCTACACTCCCACTCCCCTTACCCACCTTTGCTCCAACTCCACCCCCACCAACCCCTGCCCCCTGCACCAGCCCTCTGGATGCAGGTCTGGTGGATCGATACATCAACCGCAAGCACGGGCGCGAACCAGTCTCCTTCCAAACGCCTGCACTGGAACCCATTTTAAAGGAAACGTACGGAGTGCTGCTGTACCAGGAGCAGATCATGCGCATGGCACAGGACCTGGCGGGGTACTCCTTGCCTGGGGCAGGCGGACATGCTGCCTTGCCCTCCACTCCCCTTAACCCCCTTTTGCTCCATCCCCAACCCCACCACCCTCTGCCCCCCCCACCAGCCCTCTTGACGCAGGGCTGGTCGATCGCTACATCAACCGCAAGCACGCGCGGGAACCAGTCTCCTTCCAAACACCTGCACTCGAACTCATCCTGAAAGAAACCCACGGAGTGCTGCTGTACCAGGAGCAGATCATGCGCATGGCGCGGGACCTGGCGGGGTACTCCCTGGGGCAGGCGGACATGCTGCCTACAGCCCCACTTCCCTTACCCCCTTTCTCCCTTGTCTGCTCCCCGTTTCTTCCCTGTCCCCCTCTCCCCTCCCGCCAGCCCCCTCGACGCAGGTCTAGTCGATCGCTACATCAACCGCAAGCACGGCCGCGAACCAGTCTCCTTCCAGACCCCTGCCCTGGAGCCTATATTGAAAGAGACATACGGAGTGCTGCTGTACCAGGAGCAGATCATGCGCATGGCACGGGACCTGGCGGGGTACTCCCTGGGGCAGGCGGACATGCTGAGGCGGGCCATGGGGAAGAAGAAGCACGACGAGATGGTTGCGCACCATGAGAGGTTCGTGGAGGGCGCTGTGGAGAGAGGCGTTGAGAGAGCCGTGGCGGAGGATTTGTTCGAACAGATGGTGAAATTCTCGCAGTATTGTTTCAACAAGTCGCATAGTGCAGCGTACGGGTACCTCACATACGTGACGGCCTTCCTCAAGGCGAACTACCCCCTGCCTTACATGGCGGCCCTTCTCTCTACCTCCATGCTCGAACCCCCCACCTTGCGTCGCTACGTTAACTCCTGCCGTGCTGCGCGGATTAACATCCTCCCGCCGTCTGTCAACGCGTCTGCTTATGATTTCTCTGTGGAGCTGCTTAAAACGGGGATGGAGGGGGAGGAGGAGCGGGAGGAGGGTTTTGGACAGGTGTCGCCGTCTGGGCCTGCCACGTCAGCTGCGGACGGCGGGATTCGGTTCGGCCTGGCGGGCATTCGGGACGTGAGCAGGGCGGCAGCAGAGGAGATTATTGGGAAGCGGGAGGTGGGCGGCAGGTTTGTCAGTATTCAGGACTTAGTTGACCGCGTTGACTTGGGCATGTGGAAGAGACCAACCATTCATGCCCTTGCCCACTCAGGCGCTCTGGATTGCTTGATTCTGGGGGAAGCGGGAGGAGGAGGGGGAGACAGGGGAGAGGGAGACAGGGAAGGAGAGAGAGAAAGGGTTGAGAGTGAGGGAGTGATGGTGGAAGCGGGAGAGGGTGAGGGGGTGAGAGGGGGAGCGAGAGAGTTGGAGAGGGTGGAAGGAGGAGAGAGAGGGGGAGTAGGGGGAGAGGAGGTGTATGTGGATAGGAAGGGGTTGGCGGAGCTGCTGGAAGGGCTGGTGAAGGGGCGGAAGGAGAGGATCAAAGCGGAGATTAAGGCTGTTGCCAGGCGGGAGAGAGAGCTGGTGATGCAGCAACGACGAGAGGAGAAGCAGCGGGAGAAGGCGGCAAAGGAGTTGCTGAGACAGCAGGAGAGGCAGGCCAGGGAGGAGAAGAAGGAGCGGGAGAGAGTGGAGAGGGAGAGGAAGAGAGAGCAGCAGAGGATTGAGCGGGAGCAGAAGAAGCTGCAGCAGGGGAAGGGGAGAGAGGGCAAGCAGGAGGCTGCTGTGGTGGCGGGTGAAGTGCCCCTGGTGGCTGAAGCTGCTGAGAGTAGCAATTATCCAGACAGCAGCAGTGACTGCAGCAGTAGCAGTGATAGCATTGTCAGCGACACCAACAGCAGTGAAACTAATGACAGCTCCACTGACAACAGTGCCACAGCAGCCAACACCGCTGCTGACAGCTCCGTGACTCAAGACGATTCCAGCACTGTGGCAGGTGCTGCTGGTGACAATCCCAGCAGTGCATCCAACGGTGCAGTCATCACCACCATCCCTCCACCTCCCACCACGGCCCCAACCCCCACTCCCCCTCCCCCCGCCACCGCCATCCCCTCATTCATCACCCCCCTGCCTCCTCCCCTCCCCCCATCCGTCACAGCAGCACTCATCCTCCGTCGGCCCTTGCATGAGGAGGAGATGGTGGAGAGGCTAGCACAGGAGAAGGACCTGCTAGGCTTCTACGTAACCCAACACCCCGTGGAGGCACTCCTCCCCTCCCTCCCCGACTGGCTCCATCTCACCCCCCTCGCCTCCTGCGCGCACGTGGGCCTGACTAAGGCTTTAGAAGACAGTGCTGCTGCGGCTGCGGCCGCGGCGAGAGGTGGTGGGAGAAGGAAGGGTGGTGGGAGGGGGAAGAGTGGGAAGGACGGGCCGTCGGTGGCAGTGGTGGCGATGGTAGAGGCGGTGAACGTGCGTATGACTAAGAATAGTAACAAACAGATGGCGAATCTGCAGTTGGACGATGGGACGGGGCAGATTGAGGCCGTGGTGTTCCCGGACGTGTTTGCCAGGTACGGATCGAGCCTGAGCAAGGGTGCGACGGTGCTGGCGTGGTGTACTGTTGATGTGGAGTTGGAGGATTCGCCTGCTGCTGCTGGGAGTGGCGATAGTAGCAGCGGTAGCAGCAGCAAAGAAGAGGGGTCAGCAGATGGGGTTACCAGACCGGAATCAGAAGCCACATCTTCAGCAGCAGCAGGAGAAGTAGGAGCAGAATCAGACGCAGAAGGACAGGATGACACCTCCCCCGGACACACCCTCCCCCTGGCACCCCCTGCCATTAACCGACTCCAGCTGGTGGTGCAAGCAGCCGTGCCCACCAGCACAGCTCAGTTCGTGCGTATCGACGTGACTCAGCACGAAGCAAGGGATCCCCAGTGCTGGCACGAGCTCAAGTCCACGATTCAGCAGGTGAGGCGGGATGCGGACAACAGGCACGAGGCACGGGTGATGCAGCAGGACGTGCAGAGGGATGTGGAGCCTCAGGTGCAGCACTGGGTGCGCCAACAGAGGGCGAGCGCAGCGGGGGCTGTGCCGGTGGTGGTGCGTGTGTGGCCTGACACTCATGCCATGCCTAGGGAGATTGTTGCGAAGAAGGGATCAACGCCGTATGGGGAGTGGGCGGGTGAAGGATGGGGGGGATCTGGCTGGGGAGGTAGGCAAGTGGGGGGAGATAGCAGTGGGAGTGGTGGGGGTGGTGGCAGGGAGGAGTTGAAGGGGGAGAGAGGGAGTAGGAAGAAGACCCTTCCAAGGTTTATTATGGACTTAGGCGAAGCTTTCTCTGTGGAGGATGCGGAGAGGGCAGCAGAGGAGCTGGGGTATGCGGGGTACCGGGCGCGGGTGGTGCCGATTCTGTCGCACGAATGCGAGGAGAAGAGGAGGGAGGAGGGCTTGTGGGGGTACGAGGCAAATATGTTGCTCTAACGATGTTCAACGGGGCATTTCGTGCAAAACTAGACTGGAGGAGTCGTTCCTCGTCTATGTGATGTGAGAGGACGTGTGGAAGAGCACCACACACTTGTGCGGAACTGCACTCGTCATGTTCCTAGTTGAAGGATGTTGAATTTTACAATCATTTGCCATTTTCTCAAATGAGATGGGGTTTTTTGAATGTTTCATTTGTAAAAGGTGGTTGTATAAAATGAGTGATGCCTACCGTACTTTGGTAAAAATGGTACATCAATGTGTAGTAATCAGTCAAGCTATTGCGTTATACACCCAAACGCTGTAGCGGGTGCCACTCTTGGCGGCATTCGTTTTCCCTTGGATCTAGCGACGGATCGTCGTGTCTCGTCCCGAAAATCCGAGCCAAACCACGATGTACACCAAAGTACCGTACCGCACCTCGAGGTATTGGTTTCGTTGTTTCCTTGGGAATCTCGTGTTTCTGGCCCTTCATTATTGAATCGAGCAGGGCTTGCTTGATGATTTGGATTCCTTTCCTGGTTGTCGCGATATCTGTGGCTTTGGGATTGCTCCGTCATATCCGCGTGGCGTAGGAATCTGAGTGAGGAAGAACAGACGTTTCCAAATCATTCCTTAGTAATCGCTCTTGAGGACGATTATTAACTGCGTATCATAATTCTTCAATCCGCGAAGATGAGGAAGCGCGATTTGGGAATCCTCCTGATATCGGCGTTCGCGGTTTTCATCTGTCTTCAGGTACTACTGTCCGTCACCATCTCGCTCTGAGCGACGACGGTCAACCGTCACCGTCTCTTCTTTAAACGATCCGTTTTCGCATTTCAGATATCGTGTCGGATCAGTCTTAAGAGTGAAGTTACTGCCTTCGGATCTTTCGAATATTAAACTTCTTGTCACCGATCTCACGTTGTGTCTCCGTCTTCCCTATTCGAACGACCCTGCAAAAAAACAGCTTTAATGTTAGGAGAATGCGGTTCACGTGCACCGGGTCGGCTACAGCCAGGAGCTCGAGGCGCGTGTGTTCCCTTCGCTACTATCGCATAAATTCGTGTGCATTTCCCCATTTTCCTTTTTCCGCGTTTCCCTGATTGATCCGAGCAGCATGAGAGCAACTTCACGTTCAGGGAGGCGTGGTTCCACGTCCACCGCGACGACTACAACCAGGAGCTCGAGTTTCGTGTGTCGCTGTTGCAAGATTTGTCTTTTCTTTCCTTTTTCTCCGCCCAAATCATCGTCCGCGTTTCCCTGATTGAGCCGAGCAGCATGAGAGCAACTTCACGTTCAGGGAGGCATGGTTTCACGTGCATCGCGACGACTACAACCAGGAGCTCGAGTCGCACGTGGTGCCGCCGCCCGTGGTCTTCGATCTCAACGGCGACGGCCGCAAGGAGGTTATTCTCGCCACCAGGGACGCGCGCTTGCAGGTACGGCATCGCTTGCTGCCGATACGGTGCAGATTGAACAAGTTGTGACGATATCTTTTCCTCTTGTCCGGTTGACTGACAACGAAGTTGTAACGGTAATTTCATGGCAGCTATTTCACAAGAAGAAAAAATATGGTGACCTGCTGGGTGTCCCTCGTTGTGCGCGCAGGTGATCGAGCCGTTCACGCCGCCGTCAGGCGAGTCGTACCATCCAGTGCGCGTGCTCAAGGAGGTCTCGCTGCAACCCGGCCAGGTACGCCCCTTCCCTCCCCCCTTCCCTTTCGCTGCTCGGTGCTCGCTTCTCTCTCCTCTCCAGCCTTGTCCGGTCAGCCCATTGAGCCCTCATCATGCCCGTAGAAACCATTCGCCCCTACGGGCAGCGTTACTCATTCATCATTGTGACGATCAAAGAGGAGCGGGTTACGTAGCGTACGAACCCGCCCTTTCCCCTACCCCTCAAATCAGGTGGAGTTGAACCCAGTGGGCCATCAGGCGGTGGCGTTTGCAGTGGGGTACCTGGACCCGCCGTCCCTCAAACCGCCCAAGAAGGCGGGCAGCGGCAAGGCGGTGAGCGTGCCGCGGCGCAAGGCGGTGGTGGCGGTGGTGACGGCGGTCATGGGCGGTTCTTGAATCGATTCAATAATTGCCTTCCCACCTTCCAACCCCCTCAGGTGGAGCTGAACCCAGCGGGCCATCAGGCGGTGGCGTTCGCAGTGGGGTATCTAGACCCGCCGTCCCTCAAGCCGCCCTAGAAGGCCGGCAGCGGCAAGGCGGTGAGCGTTCCCACCTACCCCCCTTTCCCACTCCCCTCTCCACAGGTGGAGCTGAACCCAGCGGGCCACCAAGCGGTGGCATTCGCAGTGGGCTATCTGGATCCCCCTTCCCTCAAGCCCCCCAAGAAGGCGGGCAGCGGCAAGGCGGTGAGCGTGCCGCGGCGCAAGGCGGTCGTGGCGGTGGTGACGGCGGGGTGGGCGGTGCTGTGCTTCGACCACAACCTGAAGCTGCTGTGGGAGACGAGCGTGCAGCACCACTTCCCCCACGGCGCACGCCACAAGGAAGTCGCGGTGCTGATTGCCAATCACACCATGCACCGGGGGGACCGTGGCGTGGTGATTGTCGGCGGATCCATGGAGTCAGACCCGCTGGTGAGGACTCTGGCTTGGGCTGGGCTTTAGGGTTTGCGTTGCTGGGCGTGTGGGCGTGTGGGCGTGTGGGCGTGTTGGTGGGGGGTGGGCGGTGCTGTGTTTCGATCACAACCTGAAGCTACTGTGGGAGACGAGCGCGCAGCACCACTTCCCCCACGGCGCACGCCACAAGGAGGTGGCGGTGCTCATCGCCAATCACACCATGCACCGGGGGGATCGAGGCGTCGTGATCGTCGGCGGATCCATGGAGTCAGACCCGCTGGTGAGGGAATACGTGTGGAGTAGGTTCGGGTTGGGCTTTAGGGCGTCTGGGCCTTTTGTAGTCGGCTTTTGGGGGTTTCTGTTCCGGGCGGCATGGTTGGGTGTGTGCCATGCTTGTGCGGTTGGTTTTCATGAATGTATTATGCCCAAGGATGTCTGTCTGTGTGTGTTCCCTTGGTACCCTGTGGCATGCGTGGCAGCAATTCGAGGACCCAGTGGAGGATGAGGAAGCGGAGGAGGAGGGCGAGGAGAAGCATCGCAAGGAAGCCGGGGATAAGGATGTGAGCAGCCATTCCCAACCATACCGTCCCATTCCACCTACCCCTGTGCTTCTTGCTCCTAATGCACTCTCCGTCCCTTTCCTACTTGCGCTGCCCTGGCTTTCCTAGTTAGAGTGTGCTGTAGCAACGCACACTGCTCGCCTTCTCGTGTACTTGCTGTGCGTCCACTCCGTGCGCACATTCATCTAAGCCCGTGTTGTGCTCCCCCTTTGCTGTGGATACCCCCCCTCCCCCTTCGCTGTTGTGCGGGCAGGAGCTGGAGGATGTGTCAGAGGGCGCGGCAGGGGTGAACGAGCGCCACTTCTCCTACTACGCCTTTGATGGGGCCACGGGTGCCATGCGCTGGAAGCACGACAGCAAGGTGGGAAAGGGCTAGACGGCAGGGTGGGGGTTGCGTGATGACTGGGGTGCAGTGGGCAAAGGGTGGAAATCTGGGATTTATCTTGGGAGGCTCACTGTGGGCACTGTGTTGGATTGCTCTCCCCATCCCCCCTCCCAGGGCCGCTCCACTGCCTAAGCTCTCTGCAAGCACCTGTGTTGTTCCATTTGCCCATTACAGCTTCCAAAGCGGTTACTCTCCCAACCCCTCATCCTTCCCCTTTCACTCCAACCCGCGTCGCCCACACGACTCCCATTCCCCCTCGCCCTGCTCCCCCCCCCTCCCACACCCTCCTCTTCCCACACCCCCACCACATGCACATCCCTTGCACTCCGTATATACGAGCAGGACTTTCATCGGGACATGTCAGCGCTGAGCCAGCAGCTGTTGCCGCAGCACAACTACAAGCTCGACGCCTCCTCCCTCTCCTCGCGCCACTTCGGCGAGGTAAACCCCGCTTTGTCGTGCCATGCCTTGCCCTTCCCTGCCCTGCCCTGCCCTGCCCTGCCCTGCCCTGCCCTGCCCTGCCCTGCCCTGCCCTGCCCTGCCCTGCCCTGCCCTGCCCTGCCCTGCCCTGCCCTGCCCTGCCCTGCCCTGCCCTGCCCTGCCCTACCCTGCTCTTCCCCGTCCTGCCCCGCCCCTCCCTGCCCTTCCCTTCCCGTCCCCGCCCTCCCCCTGTCCCCGCCCTGCTATTTTTTGTTATTTCTGGCTTTCCTCTGTGTTCGGTTTCAAAAACATGGAGTGCTGCTAGCAATCTGTTTCGCATGCTGTTCTTGCTCTCTCCTCTAACCCTCACCCTCTCCTAACCCCCCCCCATGCGATGCCATACCACTCCATACCACTCGCCACCGTGCCATACCATGGCATGTGCGTCACCAGATGGAGTGTCGTGAGTTCAGAGAGTCTATTCTGAAGCACCTGCCACACCGATGGGTGAGTGCTGCTGCTCTTTCCCCACTATATGCATGCGCTTATGTGCTGCCATGTGCTGTGAACAGATGTGCACGTGAAGGGCAGGTTTTTGTTACCTTGATGTACACCTGTTCCCCCTTTCCGTTTCACACAAGATGCACTTCTGCTTCCCTCCTCCCCCTGGGACTATATGCTCCCGGGACTGTATGCTGCCGGGACTGTATGCTGCCGGGACTGTATGCTGCCGGGACTGTATGCTGCCGGGACTGTATGCTGCCGGGACTGTATGCTGCCGGGACTGTATGCTGCCGGGACTGTATGCTGCCGGGACTGTATGCTGCCGGGACTGTATGCTGCCGGGACTGTATGCTGCCGGGACTGTATGCTGCCGGGACTGTATGCTGCCGGGACTGTATGCTGCCGGGACTGTATGCTGCCGGGACTGTATGCTGCCGGGACTGTATGCTGCCGGGACTGTATGCTGCCGGGACTGTATGCTGCCGGGACTGTATGCTGCCGGGACTGTATGCTGCCGGGACTGTATGCTGCCGGGACTGTATGCTGCCGGGACTGTATGCTGCCGGGACTGTATGCTGCCGGGACTGTATGCTGCCGGGACTGTATGCTGCCGGGACTGTATGCTGCCGGGACTGTATGCTGCCGGGACTGTATGCTGCCGGGACTGTATGCTGCCGGGACTGTATGCTGCCGGGACTGTATGCTGCCGGGACTGTATGCTGCCGGGACTGTATGCTGCCGGGACTGTATGCTGCCGGGACTGTATGCTGCCGGGACTGTATGCTGCCGGGACTGTATGCTGCCGGGACTGTATGCTGCCGGGACTGTATGCTGCCGGGACTGTATGCTGCCGGGACTGTATGCTGCCGGGACTGTATGCTGCCGGGACTGTATGCTGCCGGGACTGTATGCTGCCGGGACTGTATGCTGCCGGGACTGTATGCTGCCGGGACTGTATGCTGCCGGGACTGTATGCTGCCGGGACTGTATGCTGCCGGGACTGTATGCTGCCGGGACTGTATGCTGCCGGGACTGTATGCTGCCGGGACTGTATGCTGCCGGGACTGTATGCTGCCGGGACTGTATGCTGCCGGGACTGTATGCTGCCGGGACTGTATGCTGCCGGGACTGTATGCTGCCGGGACTGTATGCTGCCGGGACTGTATGCTGCCGGGACTGTATGCTGCCGGGACTGTATGCTGCCGGGACTGTATGCTGCCGGGACTGTATGCTGCCGGGACTGTATGCTGCCGGGACTGTATGCTGCCGGGACTGTATGCTGCCGGGACTGTATGCTGCCGGGACTGTATGCTGCCGGGACTGTATGCTGCCGGGACTGTATGCTGCCGGGACTGTATGCTGCCGGGACTGTATGCTGCCGGGACTGTATGCTGCCGGGACTGTATGCTGCCGGGACTGTATGCTGCCGGGACTGTATGCTGCCGGGACTGTATGCTGCCGGGACTGTATGCTGCCGGGACTGTATGCTGCCGGGACTGTATGCTGCCGGGACTGTATGCTGCCGGGACTGTATGCTGCCGGGACTGTATGCTGCCGGGACTGTATGCTGCCCTGGAGCGTAGTCCACCCTCCTAATACCACTTGTGATCCCAACCCCTTCCCTCTCTCCCCCATTCTCTCTTTCTACCAGGACCATCGTCACGACACGCGTTTTGAGCTCGCCAGCATCCACCGCCATCGCCGCCGCATGCACAAGCGGCTGCCGGGGAGTGGCAGGCACGGGGCGCCACACCACGCAGCGCACCCCCACGGCACTCCCCCCAGACTGCTTGCTGGGCGGGACCATGAGCGGAACGTGTTTGCCCGGGCCGTGGGGAAGGCCGTGGATGCTGCTGGGTCGACCAAGAAGGCCAAGGTGAGGAGGGGTGGGGGAGGAGGAGGGGTGGGGGAGGAGGAGGGGTGGGAGAGGAGGAGGGATGGGTGGGAAGGGACGGGGAGACAAGGGAGGTATTTCGTAGGAGTGTCAGGCACGGAGCGCCACACCACGCAGACCACCCCCACGGCACTCCCCCCAGGCTGCTTGCAGGGCGGGATCATGAGCGGAACGTGTTTGCCCGGGCCGTGGGGAAGGCCGTGGATGCTGCTGGGTCCACCCAGAAGGCCAAGGTGAGCGGGAGGCGGGAAGGGAAGTGTTGGGGTGGAAAAGGCAGAGTGACGACAATGAGATGGGATGGTCTGAAGCGAATGGAAGCTGTTAAATGGCTCGATTATTGCTGTTCATCCTGATTGCTTCGATGCATTCCTACCTTTCTCCTCCTCCTTTCCGACTTAGCTGAAAACTCTCCTCTCCCCTCTGCCTGTCTCCCCGTCTTCCACCCCACAGCATGCGCAGCACCACGCGCACGGGAACGCATCGGCGCACCACTGGTGGGCGCACAACGCGGTGATAGCGCACCTGGAGGAGGGCATTGAGGTCATCCACCTCTACTCGGGTCGCACCATATGCAAGCTGTTGCTGCCCGACCATGGCCTGCACGCTGATGTTAACGGGGATGGCGTGCTGGACCATGTTCAGGTAGGATGTGGTGGAGTGGGGTGGGGTGTGGTGGGCAATGAGTCACTGGCATGAGGCAGCGATTGTAGGCATGGTTTGAGTGGTCATATGTGCCGTTCATATGCTGGTTGCATGTGTTGCCACCGATGTCACCGGTGGGACAGGTCACAGCACCACTGCCTTGCGTCTCATCTCCCCCACTGCATGCATCCCATCGCACCATTCCCTTGCTCCATGCACCACATAGGCATCAGGCACGTTGGGAGACGAGCTGTTTACATTTGGCAGCGAGGAGGAGGCATCAGAGGTGGTCAAGTCCTGCTGGACCATGGCGCTATCCGGCGTTCCCCTTCGTGACCCACCACCCAGCTGTCCCGTGCACCACTCTCACCACTCTCAACCAATGAACCCCATTGCACCATCCCCCGTGCCCCATGCACCACACGCAGGCGTCGGGCGCGTTGGGAGATGAGCTGTTCACGTTTGGCAGCGAGGAGGAGGCATCAGAGGTGGTCAAGTCCTGCTGGACCGTGGCGCTATCTGGCATCCCCCCCACCCAGCCGCTCTTCAACGGCTCCATCTGCCGCCCCCACACCTCGCTCTTCAACCTCGCGTGAGTCCCTGTCCCCCCTTTCTTAGCTATCTCAAGGTGTGTCTTTCACCCATCTGTGTGAGCCTCTTGTTAATTTGAAGGCATTGTCGTCCCCATGCCTTCCTAATGCGGGGATGGTGGATTTTGCGCATGCGACAGGGCAGCAGAGGGTGAGCTTGGTGGCGCCCATGCTGCTGTGCTGTTGACAAACATCTTTTCCCGCTTCCCCTTCACCTCTCTTGTCCCCACTCAGCTCTGAGTTCCAGGAGCAGTGGAACGAGCACGCAACGGGGCAGCAGAGGGTGGGCGTGGTGGCCCCCATTCTGCTGCCTCGCCGGGACCGCCACCACCGCCACCAGCGGCGGCACGGCGACGTGATCTACTTCAACAGCCGAGGCGAGGTGAGCAGGCAGTGAGTGGGCTGACATATCGACCATGGCCTATGGACAGGAATGAGCGAGGTGAGGAGGTGCTGTCACCAGCGCCACCAGCGCCACCACTGTCACCACTGTCACCAGCGGCAGCACGGCGACGTGATCTACTTCAACAGCCGAGGCGAGGTGAGCAGGCAGTGGGCTGTCATGAGCGGGGCGAGGAGATGCCATGCCAGCACCACCGCCACCACCGCGAGAAGCACTGCCACGGCGATGCCATCTTCTTGATTACTTGAGCAGCTGGGGTGAGGTGAGTAGTAGTGCCCACTCAACACACCTTGACGCACTGGGCACCTGGCAACCACTCACCTCATGCGCGGCAGATCAGCACTCAGCGGCTGAGTGGCCCTGAGTGCCCACATGGCCCTGAGTGGCAGCAAGGGCCCACATGGCCCCATGCGGTGGCAGATCAGTACTCCGCGCCTCTAATCTAGCTTGCCTCCCTCCCCGCCACGCTCCTACCCCAGATCACTTCGTACGCGACTGAGCCACTGAGCAGCAAGGGTCCCCAGGGCCACATGCGGTGGCAAATCGGCACAGACGCGAAGTGGACCCCCGCCGACCCCGCGGCCTCTTTTTAAGGCCCCTCTGAAGCTGTTTCATGTGTGCTTGTAACTCCCCCTCGCCCACACACCTCCCAGATCACTTCATACGGGACTGAGCCGCTGAGCAGCAAGGGCCCACACGGCCACATGTGGTGGCAGATCAGCACAGACGCCAAGTGGACCCCCGCGGATCCCACAGCCTCCTTTTGAGACCCCGCTTCTCAACCTTCTAAACCTTCCTCCCCCACACTCCTACCCCAGATCACCTCCTATGCAACCGAACCACTGAGCAGCAAGGGTCCACACGGCCACATGCGGTGGCAGATCAGCACAGATGCCAAATGGACCCCCGCCGACCCTGCAGCTGCCTTCGACTCCTCCGTTCCCCCCGCGCACGTGCCATCCCTCCGCGCCATGGCTCTTAAAGCCGGGGGGCGGCCGGAGGTGATTCTGGCAGTGGGGGATAGCGAGGCGGTGTTTGTGTCGCCTGGGGGGAAGATCCTGGGCACGCTGGCCCTGCCTACGACGCCCACGGAGCCGATTATTGTGGCGGATTTCAATGGCGACAGGCTGAATGACCTGATCATCGTCACTGCCATTGGCCCGTATGGGTTCGTTCAGGTGCGCATGGGTTCGTTCAGGTGCGTACTGCTTGTTTGCCCATGCCTGTTTGTGTCTCCTGGGGGGGAGATTCTGGGGACGCTGGCGCTGCCTACGACACCCACGGAGCCGATTATTGTGGCGGACTTCAATGGCGATCGGCTGAATGACCTGATTATTGTGACCGCCATTGGCCCGTATGGGTTCGTTCAGGTGCGTATGGGTTCGTGCAGGTGCGCTGCTCGTTTGTTCTTGGCTCTTTGCGGTGTCTGTCTGTCTCTCTGTCTGTCACTTTGTTGGTTCTTCTCTTTGCGGTTTCACGGCTTGACTGTGTCCGCAATTTAAAGTTCCCTTCTCATGTGGATTTCCTTTGGATCCTGGCCAAATGGTCTCACAGGTGCGGCAACCAGGAGCCATGCTGCTGTCCTCGCTACTGGGCTGCCTCGTTATAGTGATGAGTGTCATCTTCGTGTCGCTGCATCTCGACGCGCCTCGTGGTGGCAAGCCACGTGGCCGAAGCACCGACTAGGGGCGTGGTAGGAGGCTGTGGGGGGTGGAGGCTGTGGGGGGTGAAGGAGGCTGTGGGAGGCTCTGTGGGAGGCTGTGTGGGAGGCTGTGGTTGGAGACTTATTATTATGTTCTCAACACAACAGCAATCAGGCACACGGAGGTGGCACTTCCCGGAGGTGTCATTCAGGGTTCTCGTTATCAGACCAATTTGGTCTGATGGTCTGCGTTTAAGACTTGTTTTTAATCCTAAGATTTTGTGTTTGTTCTCATATGATCAGCAAGATTTGACTTTTAGGTTCGTATGATTTTTCCAGACGTGTAGATTTTTTAATCTGAGTACACAGATATCGAGTTCGGTTTCGTCTGAAACCGACAGTTTGACCCACTAGGCCATAGGCCCAGTGGACCAGAGGATAGGACCACCACAGGTACAGCCATTTGCTGCCCTGTAACTGCACACGCATTCAATACGCGTGTCTTATACAGCCTTGTAACTGCCTTGTAGCAGCATCGCTGGCATGTAACTGCGGCATATGCTGCCAGGCGTTTGTCGTTTGGCTGGCTGTCGGCGCCGACGCCAGCCACAGCCACGGCAACGCGCTGTCCCGTTGTGCCAGCGCATTTGCATTTCCTAGACGTCACGCAACACAGCACTGTGGTCGTAGTGCCCCCCGCTCCCAACACGCAGCGCCTTTCGGTTCCGAGTGCAGTGGACGGTGATGGGGTTTCATGCAGCTGGGTCTGGCTTGAAAACAAGCCTGTTTCTCCTGCTCGTCCTCACCTCTCACCCAGCCGAGCATGGATCCTATCCCTCCCAGCGTCTGATTTCCCAGCGTGACGCTTCCCAGCGTTTAGACTATGGCCGTCCCCGCCGGCGGACCGTGCGATGGGGAGCCCGTGCTTTCCGCCCTAGACTTCCTAACGCGGGGCAAGCAGATCGCTTCTGCTGCCCCTCCGATTGCGTTGACCTCTGGTGCGGTACCTTTGGCCAACTCGGAAAATGGCGATCAACACGTGCCAGCAACCACTACCCCAACTACGCTATTATCCACCCGATGCCTGACAACGGTGCAAATAAGAGCATCCCTCCAGTTTCGGTCGCTACCACCTCTCGCAGTGCTAACCCCGTCTTGCCTGACAGATCACTGAAGAAGCGGTATAGGCAGCGGGTTCTCACCGTCGGCCGACCGGGCGGTCCGACTCAGCCAGCACCGTCAGTTCTTCTGCGACCCGCGGAACCAGAACCCGAACCCGCGAATGAAGACTTCGAAGACCCGAAGGGCAAGCAACTGTCGGTTGAGGAGCTTCAGTTGAAGTGCAAGCAGCAGTGGCAGCGGTATTTTCCTTGGCTCCTCATCTCCGAAAACAAGGCCGGCCGCCCCTACATGCGCTGCAGCATCTGCATGGTCTTCGGTGACCCGAACTACAAATACGGGCGCAACGGCGATGGCGGCATCGACATCCAGAAGCAGACGATGCGCAAGCATCACCACAGTCTGAAACACGAGGCCGCGGTCTCGAGGAAGGAGGAGCGCGACGGCGTGAAGAAAGTGCAGAAGTCCATTGCTGACTTCCACCGTGGGGACGCTGATGTCAAGCGTATTGCTCGCTTGATGGCTATTGTGCTGTTCATTTGCAAGTCTGACGCTCCCATTGTGCTATTCGTGGCTTTGGTTCAGTTCATGGCAGAGCAGGGGACTCCGGATCTGCCCCTGAAGGAGAACGGGACGTACTACAGCGAGTAAGTGTCCCGTTTTCATTCATTGCTTTATGGTCCGTGAGTTTACAACACTAACGAGTTTTAACCCCGGGTGTCTCAGGTACGGCTTTGCACAACTGGTCGAGACCATGGTGTGCTACCTGAAGTCCCGCCAGATGAAGCACATCCGCGACAGTCCGTACCTTGGCATCCAGTTGGACGAAAGCACCGACCGACGACAGGGGAAACACATGATCGTCTATTTGATGTTCATGCGTGACAACGCTCCCGTCACTGAGTTCTTCGCGTTGCTCAGTGTGGAGCAGTGTGACGCCGCGTCACTCACTACAGTACTCCTGACGCATCTGGAGAGCACCGGCATCGACCTCATGCGCCTCACCGGTATGAGCACTGATGGCGCTTCTGTCATGCTTGGACAGCACAACGGAGTCACCGCGCGCCTAAAAGGCAAGGTTCCTCATCTTGTGTCGTCCCACTGCATCGCGCACAGGTAAGAGTTGTTGCTTCGCGTTTACTGCCTATTATTTTTTAATATACCCTTGCTAATGTTACGTTCTGCTGTCTTGTAGGGAGGCCTTGGCGGCCAAGGATGCTGCCGCCAAGCATCCTGACTTCAACATCGTGGACAAGGTGGTCCGAGCCGTGGCTGAGAACCTTGGTCGTTCATCTGTTAACCACGCCAGATTTCAAGAGCTTCAGGAGGTCATCTGCGAGACCCATCTTGAAGTCCAAGGCATCAAGGACGTCCGATGGCTGTCTCATGGTGACACCATCCAGCGCCTGGTGAAGGTGTTTCCTGCAGCAGTCATGGTCTTGCACGAGACTAACAAGAAGATGTATCAAGTCGTAACGAGCTACAAGTTCCATTTTCTGCTGTTCTTCCTTTCTGACGTCTTGAAGGAGCTCAACCTTCTCAGCTTGAAGTTTCAGCGGCGTCAGGTAAGCAGATTCACAAGTTACCCGTGGCTGTTTACTTCATTTACAACCATTTACTAAACGTCCTGCTTGTGCAACCCCGTTTACAGGTCGAGGCAACTCATGTGCTGCCGATGGTGCACAACACAACCTTACTGCTGCGCACACGCTACCTCGACTGCGACGACGCGATGTTTGGCCAGGGTGGAGACGCGTTGGGCCCGTTCCTCTTCAAGCACGCATCAGGGGAGTTCCGCGAGGTCCTCGTTGCTGGCACTGCTTCCGACGGCACATCGGTCAGCCATCGATACCGACTGCACGAGGAGAAGATCAAGGGGCAGACGAGTGGTGTGGACCACCAAGCGTGTTTGGGGCTGGCGCGCGAGTTCATCACGACCCTGGTCGGTCGGCTCGACTACCGCCTCAAGGATCTGTCACACCTCGACGGGGCGAAGCTGTTCAAGCAGGGATCCTATCCCAAGAACCAGGCAAAGCGTGAGCGACGGCTAGGCCAATGGCTCCAGTCTCTGCGCAACATGTTCAAGCGGAAGCCAGAAGACCCTGATACTATACCAGGTGCGTTAAATGCCAGGAATGTGCTGTATCTTTAGCGTTGTTTCCACGTGCATGTTCAAACCCTTTCACATCACCAATACCAATGTTCCCATGCGCACCCCAACCGCAGGCATCAACTGGGCGAGAGCGCAGCGGAAGCTCGTCACCTTCTCTACAATCCTGGCCACGCACCAAGAGGATGTCGGGTTTGCGGACAGCCTGAAGCTCATGCTGTCCTCCCCCGACTGGGAGACATGCTACCCGAACCTCGTCCACCTGTGGATGGCTGTCGCCGTGCTTCCGCTCAGTACCGTCGAGTGCGAGCGCGGCTTTTCACGGCAGAACATCATCAAAAGCTGGCTTCGCGGGAACCTGTGCGACGCGAAGCTGGGAGAGCTGATGGCTGTGTCGCTCCTAAACTATGACATGGAGTGGCCCGAGTTGCTGAGGAGGTGGAATGCTTCCAAGAAGCGAAGGCCTGCTAATGATGGCGTCCGGGGAGAGACAGAGCAAGCGTGCGAAGAAGAGATCGGCCGCAACTGCAGCAGCAGCAGCTGCACTGGCAGCAGCAGAGGCAGCTGCTCGAGAAGCGGCCCTGGCAGCAGAAGCAGCAAGGATGGATGCTGAGTACCCGTGGCTTAGCAGGAAAGAACGGGCCACGGTTCCAGAGTCCGTGGGTAATGAGGATGGTAGTGATAGCAATGAAGAGTGCGGCTCTAGTGACTCTGACTAGGTCCTTAGCTACTGCGTAGGTTGTTTGATAGTATGAGTAGAATTGCAGGTAGGATTACAGTAGGCTGACTTTTAACTTGGTTTTTTATTTCGTCTAGTTTATCAGACTTGGAAAAATAAATCATCTTATAAGGCAGACCACGTAAGTTTCGTCGTCAGTGCTTAAGACGGGGAAAAAAATTTTGAGGGTACTGTCAGACAGGCCCTAAACCTAGCGAGAACCCTGGTGTCATTGGATATTTGTTGGATATCCAGAAGCATTAGGCAGAGGTGCTCAATTAGTGGAACACGTGCCTGGGGAATTTTGCGTGTGGCTGGTCTGTACTGTACGTGCTAACACCTTTTTCTAGGTTGCATGTTGTGGTATACAGTGAAATTCCGAGTAAGGTACGAACATATAGCTGTCATTCTGGAACGAACGTAACTTCCATGCGGTTCGTTTAGTAACGGGGATTGGAAACTTCGCAGTAGGCACTTGTGGGCAAGCGTCGTTGTTTTACTTCGTCTCAGGCTAGTGTCATCGCATCCCGTCGCGCGCCGGCGATCACGCCGCGACGACCGCACGCGAGCATGGCGTCCCTTCGCCGCCTCGCCTCGTCGCGCGCCCCGCTGCAGCTCCGCTCGCTAATCGCCGCACGAAGCTTCCTTCCACCTTCGCACACCATCCAACACGCGGACCCTCCCTGTTCATTAGATCCCACCCCTGAGCTAAGAATCGCGTCGCATCTGAACGGCATTCTCGGCTTTCCGCATGTCCTGCTGTTCGGCTCCGCGTCACCCGGACTCTCTCCGCTTGACGCTTCCGCCTCCCCACTTATCAGTTCCGCCTCCGCCGAGCCTTCCGCGCAGGCGCTGCCGTGGGGGGAGCACGCGGGGACGGGGATGGAGTGCGGGCGCGGGGACAAGCGCACGAGGCGGGGGAAGATCTTTAAAGGATCGTACGGCAACGCGCGGCGGGACAAGAAGCGGGAGAACCAGCGGCTCCGGGAAAAGTGGGAGCTGCCACCTGGCAGCAGCGTTGACACCGTCTTAGTCGGCCGGTAGCTCTGCTGACGTGTCAGTATGATGACGTGTCAGATCACTTCGTGTTCCGTGACGTGGCAGCATGCGCAGGGCAGGGCAGCACGTGCAAAAGGATAGGATGAGGTTCTTTGTGCCAATGACGAGGAAGAGCCTAGGGTAGGGTGTATGCAGGGCTAGGATGTGTAGAAGCGCCAACCTTTGCTGTTCTGTGCATGCTGTGCCAGCTCTTGTGTATGCTAAGGCATTCCTAAATGTTTGGTTCCAGGTCTAGTTTTGAGGCGCGTCAATTCCAGGTCTGTGCTTCATGCATGCACTCCAGATTCCCTAGCAGCCAACTTGCCTGCTCTACTGCTTCGTGCCAGGTTCTCCCAGTGCTTTCTGGCTTGTACCTTCAGATTTAAGAACCATTGTGCTTTACGGTAGCAGCAAAACATGAACTCTTGTGCCCACACCCAAGGTGTTGGACTGAGAGATGAGAAACTTACAACACAAGGAAGTGACCATATCCGCCCTGCATGCACTCGAGTCAATTGATATGGCGCAGCAACCATGGCACCCACTCATGCACTTGCTGCATGCTCATTGCTCAGTCGCATTTGCCCCTGCCAGCACACGCACCACCCCCACCGCCCACCCCTGCTTGCACTGCCTTCAGCAGATCCAACAGCCGTGGCACCACCTCGCCTAGCTTCCCGGCATTTAACCCTATTGAGCCTCCCCTCCCTTTTACCCCCCGTGCACTCAGTCGCATTTGCCCCTGCCAGCACTAGCAGCACCACCACCGCCCACCTCTGCCTGCACTGCCTTCAGCAGATCCAACAGCCGTGGCACCACCTCCCCTAGCTTGCCCCCTGCTGCCTCCCCCCACCCACTGCCCTTTTGCTGCAAACCTCCCCTCCTCTCCCTATCATCACTCCCACCAGCAGCCCCCATGGTGGCAGAAACGGCAGCAAGAGCAGCAGCAGTAGCATTAGCATCTGAACCATCACCAGCAGTACCAGCAGCAGCAGCCATTGCGTCAGATAGCAGTATGTCACTCAACTGCGGCTCATCATTCGCTGCTGCAGCTGCTGCTGCCGCCCTCGCTCTTTCCTCCTCAACCCTCCTCTGCTCCGCCTCCCCTGCCAATCTTCTTGCTGCTTCCCTCATTACAGTCACGCACCGGGCCACAGCGGCTGCCAGCTGACCGCCTTTGGGGAGTATAGGGGGTGCTGACGTGGCGCTTTTGGGAGGTGCCAGGTGGCTGCTGACGTGGAGGACGCTGAGGAGGAGGGTGAGTGTGCGAGAAGCCGAGGTGGCAACTTCCTGTTGCATGTGACAGAGTATGGTATAGATGGAGCGGGGACGGATTTAGGTGTTGCAAAACAGTATAGCAGCTTGCATAAACTAACAACACAGAAGCGAAGGGCATGCACATAATGCAAACTGCCCCGCACTTACCAGGGTAAAGCCGAAACCGTTCTTGTTCCCCATCGTTTCCAATCCACCATCTTCCTTCGCTATAAGCACATTCTCCATAGCCCCGGCCAAGGAATCTAGCAGCCACGCCAATGGCTGTTCGGCTTGGGTGCGGTTCGCATCCAGCAGCAGCGGCCACACCCAGTCAGCTTCGGCAACCGAACCAGGCAGCGCTGGAGCAGGACCTCCAGGCTCGGCAGAAGGCGATTGGCTCGGAGGTGGGAGCGGGAACGGAAAGGAGGCTCGGGAGGGCAGTGCTTTGGAGACGAACGTTCGAACCTCTGGAGATGAAGCCTGGACGGGGAAAGCAGGGAACAAGCAGGGTTGGTGGAAATAATTTGAGTGGGTCAAGACACTAGTAAATGTGACCAGAGGGGACCAGAGGCGAGAAGTGGCATGTCACAAAACACATGGTTGGTGGAACTTTGAGGCAGAGGACTAACGCAAACTGAATGAGGAGAGTCATGAAACGAGCTAGGCTGGCTTGGTGGCACGGGGAGGGAATTAAGCAAGGGATCTCACAGCAAGGAATAGGAGCACTGTGTCAAGCCACTGTTATGTCACGTGGTGGGAAACTGGGGCGCGGTTGGTGGTGCTGCGTGTGTGTTAGTGGGCTGCTGTGTGGCAGGAGGGCTTGGCTTGAATGGTGCGAGAGAGGAGAGTGCTGCCACGAGGGGCATTGAGCAAGGGATCTCACAGCGAGGAAGAGGAGCACTGTGTCAAGCCACTGCCACGTGGTGGGAAACTGGGATGCTGCTTGTGTGCCCGTGGGCTGCTGTGTGGCGGCTGGGCGTGGCTTGGGTGGTGTGAGGGAAGAGTGTGCTGCCACGAGGGCTCTACACAGGCCAGACTAGGAGGAATAATGGGAGGGCATTGGGGGGGGGGGATGGGAAGGAATGGGAAAGCGAATTCTGAGACGTATGAAAAGGCAGGGCGTGGCTTGGATGGTGCGACAGTGGAGTGCGCTGCCACGAGAGCTCTACACAGGCCGGACTAGGAGGGATAATGGAAGGGCATGGGAGGGAATGGGAGAGAGATAATCAAGAAAAAGATGTTCCTACTAGCACACATGGGATGCCATTCCCTCCCATGCCCTCCCATGACGAACCACAAGGAGCCCCTACTAGCACACAGTGAACCCCCGCTTGCCACAGTTTGAGTCAAACTGACACACAGGATGAAGTTACAGAGACAATAAGTGCCGCAATCGCTTCTGCTGCTACCAGGAAAGCGTACCTTGATGGCTGAGTCACCAACAGTGCGTGCAACAGCAGGGGAAGGGGCGGAAGAGGCAGCGGATTGAATCCAAAACAGCAGCACCCGCTGCAAGTGCACTGACACTTGAGCAGTGGCCGTTGTTGCTGTGGTTGCACTTGCTGCTGCTTTGGCACTTGGTGCTGCTGTTGTGCTTGCTGCTGTTCCTGCTGCTGATGCCTCTGCTGCTGCATGATTGGTCGATGCCCATTGCACCAGATCCCCCAACCCAGGGCAAAACGCATTCACAGCCGCCCAAACCTTCCGCCGAACCAGCCTCTCCTCCGAACCTCCTGCCGAGCCTGGCACCCTACCTCCCCCTATCCCCCCACGGTCTTCCCTCCCCTTAGCTGCATTTGGGTTGTGAGACGGCGAGGAGGAGAGGTGGGAGATGAGGGAAGAGAGGAGGGCGAGTGAGGTAGCTGTAGCAGTGAGGGCAGTGGGGGGTGACTTGAGAGGAGACAGGGAGGGCGAGGGAGGGAGGGAGAGGCGAGGGGAGGAGGCGGCGGTGTGAATGGAGTCTATAGCCTGTGATATCACATTGCTGCTGCTTGTGCTGCTACTGCCAGTACCAGCAGTGGCACTGGTGGCAGGGTGGGAAGAGGTGGAGGAGGGGGAGGAGCAGAGATAGAGCAGTCTGAGGGAGAGGAGGTCAAGATAGGAGGATAGCAGCATGGGGTATGCACCCTCGCCACCCACTGCACCGCATCCCACTCCTCTCTCTGCCACACATCTTTCTCCATTCACACCCTTTCCATAACTCCTTCCCCACTTGCATCCCCAGCCCCCTCACCACCCCCACCCTCCTTCCATTCCCCATTGCCTTTTGTATGATTGCCAATACTGCCGTTCGTCTGCCCTTCTGTGATTGGCTGTGCGCCTATCAGCACAGCCAGCCTCGCCACGTCATCAATCATCCCCGCCTGGGCCCACGCTGAGTCAGCACTGCCGGGAAGAACGCCCTGCAAGCTGCCAACCAACACCGCCCATTTTGCAAGCAAAACTGACCAATCAGAAGCGTCCTCAACGTGCCGCTGCTGTGCTGCTCCTGGTTATGGTGATGATGATGGTGGTGGTGGTGCTGGTGGTGGTCTATATTGGAAGGCAACGAGGGAGATTCGTCTTCCAAGGGGAGCCAATCCGATGCAACGGACGCTTCTGAGAAGGTGCAACGGAAACAGAACGGGTTGGGATAGGAAGGGGGGGAAATGGAGGAATCAAACTCAAGGAAGTGTACGACGGGAGGGCGGGGTGCAGAGGTTGACGAGGCAAGTGTACGTGAGGGGGGAATCAATGCTGTTTTGTCATGAAACCCACTCAATGAGGAGCATACCGTCTCAAGTCGCATGCGATGAATCGAGTTTGGAGGCAAATAGAAAACCACCCACCCACCCACCCACCCACCCAGCCAGTAGAAGAGCATACCGTCTGAGTCCGCATGCTCATCTGCCTCCCCCTCTGCATCGCCCACACCGCCAGCCTCGCCACCGCTGTTAGTGCTGCTGCCATTCGTTTCAGGTACTGCTGATCCTTCTTCAGCCGTCTCACCAGCCTCGTTGCCCGAAGCTCTGGCTTCATTTGGCTGAGGTTCGGCAGGAGGTTCGGAAGGAGGAGCGGGAAGCTCCGGAGGGTCGAGGTGGAAGGAGGAGAGGGCAGCTGCGAACGCCTTCACTCCAGTGTCGCCGGGCAGCTTGAAACAGTTTGCGGGCAGCTTCACAAGGAGAGAAGCTGCAGGAGGAAAAAAGAGCCAAGCGAATCAAACGATGGGGAGTCCAACGAAGTCATGAGAGAGAGAAAAATCAGGGCAAGCTACCAGGACGTTCAATTGAGATGCAAGTCACAAGGGGAGGAAGGGGGGCATAGTGGAGGGCCCAGCGACAAGTTGGAAAGGACGGACGAGCTCTCTGTGGAAAAACAAGGGGCTTGAGATGAGATGCCTCAAAAAGATGAAACTTTCTAAAACGTCTCAAAACTCGATCCAAGTCACAGGGAGGGGAGAGGAGGAGTGGGGGGAGGGGGGAGGGGGGGGTTGGTTGCGAGAGGCCCAGCCCAGCAACAAGAAGGAAAGGATGGACGAGCTGTCTGTGGAGCTGCCAGCAAACAAGGGGGTGGTAGCAGCAAGATGGTGGTGGTGCATTCTAGAGCCACCAGGACCCAACCGCGAAACCCACCAGCAATCTGAGCAGCAGCGTCTGCCAACTGCCTGCCTGCTGCCCCCTGCTCCTCTCCCACCACTGCTCCAGCGTCCCCTCCCCCCACGCCTGCTGCGCTTGCCCCACCCCCTCCTGCTCCCACCGCTGCTACTCCCCCTGCTCCTCCCCTCGTGTCTCCCCCTGCTGCTGCAGGGGCTGCGTTGGTGGGGTGTGTGCTGCCATCGCTGGTGCTGCTTCTGCCCGGCTGTGCCTTGAGTGCGCTCGCTGCAACGTATGAGAGGCCAGAGAGGAACCGGCTTGTGATGGGGAAGGACGGAGCACCGCTGCTGCTAGTGGTGGTGGTGGTGTTGCTGCTGGCTGTGGTTGGAATCAGGTCCACTTGCTGTCTGCACGGGACAGAGACATGCATGTACCACGTGTGAATGTTTGTGCAAGTCCCGCCACTCCCACCCCACTCCCCCGTACTCCTCTGTTCGGAATAATTGCTGACAGAAGCGGCGCATTGCATGCTTTATGGTCCATGACATGGCCCATGACCCATGCTCCAGGCTCCTCGTTCCTCTCGCCTTCCCACTTCCCCCCCCACCCTTCCTCCCCCCCACCTGATAGCGGCGGCGAGCGCAGCCAGGTCGCGCGGCTGCGCGGACGGGAAGTCGAACCACAGGCTGCGAAACGCCCGCTCCGCGCGCTCCCCCTCGCTCACGCGCGCGGCCGCCTGCTCCGCCGCCATGATTGCGCGCGCCATGTCCGCCGCCAGCCTGCGCTGCTGCTCGCGCTCCGCCGCCGCTGAAGAGAGGGGGAAAAGGGCGCGCGGGAGGGCGTGAGGGAGAACTAAGCAGGGAAGGCGGAAACCGCGCAACACGGATGTGGGAAAGAAAGAAGCGGGGAAGAGGCCTGAGGGGAGTGGCTTGATGCGGCATGGCGCTATGCGCAGCGCGCGCACCGACGGTTACTGCCCCTACCGGGGTCATTTGCGTCAGCGGCGATGAGCGCGCGCGCCACGTCAACCACGGCGGCGCTCAGCTCCCCCGTCCCCATGACGTCAGCGATTGCGCGCTCCTGCTGCTGCCGACGAAGCCCCCCGTCCGCCGCCTCCCCGCGCCCCATGCGCTTCCCCGCGCGACCGGAACGTTTTTGCGGTGAATGCGGAAAAACGAGAAGAGTGGGATAAGGGATGGAGGCACGAGGTAACGAACCGAGGAGGAACGATGGTAGTGTGTAGAAGCATCTGTTTCGAGAAATGGTAAAGCGAATCTTGGTTCGTTACACAGTCATTCAGCAGCATCGTGTGTCACTTTAGTATAATTCGTAAGAAGCTCAAAAACTACATTTCTTTCAATAAGCGATTGAAATATACAAAATCCTAATGTCCTTGATATCCCACAAAAAGGTCCAGAACCATTTCATTAACCTCCACAGGATCATGCCGCAAATACTTCCCCGGATGCCTCGATGCCTCCATGACATGCTTATACGCGAGATAAAAGTCGGTATAGGGCGCGAGCACACGCTGCTTCACCGCCAGTCGTAATTCGTCCCGCAGTGGGCCCGGGTTGACCAGCCAGCGCGTCTGGTCGCGATGAATCTCCTCCAACAGAATGTTGAAGCCTTTGAATTTTTCCTGAGAGGGTGGGTTTGCAAGCACAAGATGGAGGGAGCAGGATGGGAGCAGGACGAAGGGGACAGGATTGGATTGAGCACCAGCCATCGCGTCTGGTCGCGATGAATCTCCTCCAACAGGATGTTGAATGCCTTGAATTTTTCCTGCGACAGGTGGGTTTGCAAGCACGGGATGGATGGAGGGGCAGGACAAAAGGGAACAGGATGGGAAGAGGCACAGGCAAACCACCGTGTTTGGTCGCAATGAATCTCCTCCAACAGAATGTTAAAGGCCTTGTACGGTATCTCTCCAGAATGGGTTGTTGGTCCATGGGTGCAGAGAAACATGTGGAGGCATGGCTGGCATTTGGAAGAACAGTGCTAGGCTCACCTTGAGCGTGCTCTTGTGCAGTTGTGTGGAGGGGTCGATGCGGAGAGCGTAGGAGGGAGAGGAGAGCAGAGATACAGATGCATACATGGGCGTGAAGCATAAGACCGGGGAGACAGTGCTAGGCTCACCTTGAGCGTGCTCTTGTGCAGCTGAGTGGAGGGGTCGATGCGCAAGGTATAGGAGAGGCGGGAGAAGCAGAAGCGCAGGTACTCGCTGGCATGCTGCCTCACGAGCGCTGCCTGCCTCCTCACCCAGTCGTCCCCCACCACCACCCGCATGTCTGACTCCTTCACCTGGAGACGAGAGGAGGGTAATGGGGGGGGGGGGGGGCGGGAAGATTCAATCAACAAGGGGCAGAAACAAGGGTTGGACACCCAGTCTTCCCCCACCACCACCCGCATGTCTGACTGTTTCACCTGGAGACGAGAGGAGGATGAGTTGTGGTGGGGGGAGAGGGGGGTTCAATCAACAAGGGGCAGAGACAAGGGTTGAGCACCCAGTCGTCCACACCACCACTCGCATGTCTGACTCCTTCACCTACAGCGAGGGGTGACGGGGGGAGAGGGGAGAAGGTGTAAAAAGGGGCAGAGACAGGGATTAAGCACCCAGTCGCCCCCTCCAGCACCCTCAGGTCTGATTCCTTCTTCTGCGGCAAGGGGGCGAAATGGGGAGAGTTAGGAGGCAACACAATTCGAGCGCAGGAGAGAAGAGACCTCATCGTCTCCCAGGCGTCTCCCAGCCGTCCCCTACCACCACGCGCATGTATGACTGGTTCAACTGCAGCGAGGTGACGAGGGGAAGAAGGGAGTGGGGGGAGGGGAGGGGGGAAGTGTTTGACCTGCCATGAGTAACCTCACCTTCCTGGCCATGTAGTGAATGTTGTTGAGAAGAAACACCTCGCCCTGAGCGGGATCCCTATACTGCCTCGCCTTGCCCTGCAGATTCTTCTCCAACACCGCCAGCTGCCACACCACCTTTCGCCCCAGCCCTGCATACTCCGGCACCCCTGCTCCTCTGAACCCCTTCCGTGCTTCCCTCCTCGCCTGCTCCCGCCTCCGTGCCTCCTCCTCGTCCTCCTCCTCGCTCTCACTCTCACTCCCCTCCGTCCCACTCCCCTCCTCGCCGCTCCCACTCATCTCACTCCCACTCGACTCGCCCGGCGTCTCCACCCCGCCTTCTCCCCTCCCCCCGTCCCTCCCGCTCCCATCCCTCCCTCCTCCCCCTCCCTTCTTCTTCGAAGCAACCAGCTTATGAATCTTCCCGGCAGCAGCAGCATCACCCCTCTTAAACAGCCGTTGAAGCGAGTCGCGGTATTCGTAGAGCAGGATGACATAGTTGACGACGTAGCGGGTGAGCCCGTGGATGGTGGCCGTGCCGGGGATGTCCGATGCGTCGCTCTCAATGCCCGACTCAAACTGCGCCAGAATGGCGCTGATGGCCTCTTCCAGGCGCGTTACCACCAGGGCGAAATCATCCCTCAGGCCCGTGCAGGGGCCGTCCCCTGCCCAGAGGTGAGGAGAGGGGAGGGGAGCAGAGGCAGGGGAGGTTGAGTGTCTGAGGCGTCGCTCTCAATGCCCGACTCAAACTGCGCCAGGATGGCGCTGATGGCATTCTCTAGGCGCGTGACAACGAGCGCGAACTCGTCTCTCAGGCCCGTGCACGGACCGTCCCCTGCCATGCCATGGGGAGAGAGGGAGGGGATGGGGTAGAAGTCCAGCATGGAGAAGAGGGCCAGGGCTACCCACAGGTAGGGCTGTTGTCACCACCTCACCCCACCCCACACCACCACAACACACCACACACCACTGCACCTCACCTTTACATGCGGCATCGTAAGTAGAGGTCCAGCATGGAGAAGAGGGATAGGTGTGAGTGTTACATCAGACTCCATCCCACTCCACCGCAACTTACTCCACCACTGTTGGTCAGGCCGCAGCGAGGCCTTGATCTCACAGAGGTCATGATCTCACAGAGGCCACCACACCTCACCCCACCTCACCGGGAAACCGGGAAACCGGGCAACCGGGCAACCGGGAAACCGGGAAACCGGGAAACCGGGAAACCGGGAAACCGGGAAACCGGGAAACCAGGAAACCGGGATACGGGGAAACCGGGAAACCAAGAAACCGGGAAACCAGGAAGCAAACCAGGAAACAAACATATTCACCAGCCCACCCACCCACTCACCCACACCACACCACTCCACTGCACTTCATCCCAAGGTGCAAAAAAACGACGTTTTTTTTTTTCAAAATTTGATCGTAAAATACCATATCATAAGAAACGATCGTAAAAAACAATAAAATACGACTCTTAGAAATTAATTAACTTGGGTGAAAAAAAAACCATCGTTTTTTTCAGAAAAGGTACAAAACTGCTGCTGTAACAGGGGGATTGTTTTCTGAGTAGAATGAGGGGGCTGTTAGAAGTGCTGCTGATGCACAGGGAGGTGGTTAAAAGTGTTTTTTTGGTCACAAGAGCACTTTTTTAATCGAGGCGCTTTTTGTGTCTAACAAAATTCGTTGTTTTTTTCTTAAAAGGTACCGTAAAGAACAATCGAAAAATACAATCGTATTTTCGACAATCGTTTTTTTCCACCTTGCTTCATACCACCCCACATTTACAAGCACCATGGAAGTCAGGCCTGAGGCCAACCATGATCTCATAGAGGTCCAGCATGGAGAAGAGCCGCTCCCCCAGGCGCTTGTCGAGAGCGACCGAGCCTGGACGCACGGAGAGGCTGAGAGAAATAAACTTACCCCTTCCCACCGCACTCCACCGCATAACACCGTACTCCACCCTACCCCACCATACCACACCTTTGCATGCCGCATCTAAATCAGGCCTCAGGCCCGCCATGATTTCATAGAGGTCCAGCATGGAGAAGAGGCGCTCCGTCAGCCCACCACACCGCACAGCACTCCACCGCACCCCACCGCACACAACCCCACCACACCTTTGCATGCGGCATTGAAGTCAGGCCTGAGGCCCGCCATGATCTCGTAGAGGTCCAGCATGGAGAAGAGCCGCTCCGCCAGGCGCTTGTCGAGAGCAAAGGCCTCTGCGAAGGCGAATATGAATCGCACTGCTGATGATGCCACCTCGTGGAAACACATCTCCGCCAGCTGATGGGAGAAGGGGGGCGTGGGGGAGGGGTGGGATGTGAGGGAGGTGGACACAGGTGCCAAAGGCTGTCGAGAGCAAAGGCCTCTGCAAAGGCGAATATGAATTGCACGGCTGATGATGCCACCTCGTGAAAACACATCTCCGCTAGCTGAGAGGAAGGAGAGAAGTGTGGGGTGAGAGAGGTGGACTCAGGAGCCAGGCGCTTGTCGAGAGCAAAGGCCTCTGCGAACGCGAATATGAATCGCACGGCTGATGATGCTACCTCGTGAAAACACATCTCCGCTAGCTGAGAGGAAGGAGAGAAGAGTGGGGTGAGAGAGGTGGACTCAGGAGCCAGGCGCTTGTCGAGAGCAAAGGCCTCTGCGAACGCGAATATGAATCGCACGGCTGATGATGCTACCTCGTGAAAACACATCTCCGCTAGCTGTGGGGAAGGCAGGTGGGCAAGAGGCAAGGGGCAGGGGTCAGGGGTTTAGGGAATGCTGTTGGTTTGGGACAGGGAGGCAGAACAAATCGGAAATCAGGATCTGGTTCGAGACGTTCTTGTCAAAGAGACGGGAAGCTCCGCCCTTCTCACTCACAAAAATCCACCCCTCCCACCCTCCCTTCCCCGCACTCACGTTGCCCTGCTGGCTGGCCCTTGAAACACCGAGTCACAGAGTCGCCTCTCCTCTCAGCCAGCAGCACCACCCGCACGGCGAGGCGGAAAACTGCATCCACGCCTTCACGCTTCCCCCTCTTCCCCTCTCCTGTCCCTTATCTTCCCCTTCCCCCCTTCCTCTATGCAACAGCACTCACGTTGCCCCGCTGGCCCTTGAAAGAGCGAGTCACAGAGTCGCCTCCCAGCCAGCAGCACCACCCGCACGGCAGGGTGGCCGGACAGCATCCACGCCTTCATCTTTCTCCCCCTCCCCCATTCCTTCATTCACGCATCCCGCACTCACGTTCCCTTGCCCTTGAAACACGGAGTCGCACAGCAGACTCTCCGCCAGCAGCACGACGCGCACGGCCACGCGGGCGAACTGCATCCACGCCTTCACCCTTCCCCCTTCCCCCACCCCAACCCGCACTTACGTTCCCCTGGCCCTGGAACACGGAGTCGCACAGCCTTCGTTCAGCCAGCAGAACAACACGAACTGCCAGGCGGGCGAACTGCATCCACGCCTTCACCCTGTCCCCCGTTCCCCTTTGTCTGTGCAACACCCCATGCCCCACTCACATTGCCCTGCCCTTGGAACACAGAGTCACACAGCCGTCTCTCCGCAAGCAGCACGACACGCACGGCCAGCCGGGCGAACTGCATCCACGCCTTCACGCGCTCCTCCAGCGCCTCCCACCGCACGCCCCCCATGTCCTCCGGGCGGAACTGCCCCGCTGCCAGCTGCTCTAACGTCCTGTCCAGTGCCTGGGGGCAATGGAAGGGGAAGGGGAAGGTCAGTGAGTGGGGGCGAGTTGGGACCTGCTCTTGTTGTTACTCTCTCCTCCAGCGCCTCCCACCGCACGCCCCCCATGTCCTCTGGCTGGAACTGCCCCGCTGCCAGCTGCTCTAGCGTTCTGTCCAGTGCCTGGGGGCGGGGGGGGAGTGGGCATGATCGACAAGAGGGGTTTTTATTTCATGAGCATGGCTCCCTGAGACCTCCCACCGCACGCCCCCCATGTCCTCCGGGCGGAACTGCCCCGCTGCCAGCTGCTCTAGCGTTCTGTCTAACGCCTGTGGTGAATGGGAGTGCGGACAAGGGCCAATACGCAGTGAGCGAGGAAGGTTGAAACAAGTCTTCTTCCCTAAACCAAAGGAAGTCTACTCTACTCCACTCTACTCCCGCTGCGTACCACTAAGAACGAGGTGGGCCCAACATGACGGCATGGTGACTTGGAAAACCACTCACCACGTGCGAGACCATACACCACCCATTCCCCCTTCGTCTGTCTCCGATCTCAGCGACTCCGTTCACCCTCACTCCCTCCCTACTCGCCCCCTACCTCCCGCCGATCGCCCTCGCTACCCGTTACTGCCCCTTATCCAATCTAACCTGCACCTTACCTGCTCTCACCTGCTCGGTGCCTGTCCCTTACCTGCCTCCGCACTGCTCCAGGCACGTCTGCCCCCATTGTCACCCGCTCCCCCACCACACCCCATCGCACGAACCTTATGACCTTTAGCCAGAGCTGCCTCTCACCTGCCTCCGCACTGCGCGGTAAGTCTCCAGGCACGTCTGCCCCAAACCAGCCTGCACCATCCGCCGAGCCACCTCCCGAACCTGCACCGCAGCATGGGGCTGCATCAGGTACGGTCCGCCGTCCGAGCCTCCCTTGGACCCCCTCCCGCTGCCGAAGCTGCCGCAGCTGGTGCCGCCCGTTCGGCTCTTAGACGCGGCTTGGTAAACAGCTTCCGGTTCTAGCGGCTTAGAATGCTGTTTAAGAACGTACCAAAAGCCCTGCTCTAGCCACGGACGCGCCGCTGCCGCGAACCACTTAGCTCTGTGAAGCATCTCGGCAGCTTCGCTGCTGCTTCCGCCGTATCTGCCCGACTCACACGTGTCGATCACGGATTGGATGGAATCTAGGGCTTGCAGGTACGCGTCCACGTGGACGCTCGAGCCTTCCCATAGGCGGAGGCTTGCTGCTGACGTGTCACTGGGAGACTGGGAGGACGCGGAGCGAGTGCTGCTGCGGGAGGAGGGTCGGCTGCTCGCGTTGCTTCCGCCGCCGTGTGATGACGTGTCCGAATGCCATTGGCGGAGAACGCGCTCAGCGTTCTGGAGGGCTGCTCGGGTGACGGTAGTTGAGGCGGTAACCATGCTGGGCGAAAACGACGAAAACGGCGAATACGGAGATTACAGCTAGGCGCATCGAGTGAATCAGTTAGTCAGATTAAGAAACGCTCGGACTACGGAACGCCCTATAGAACTATGGGACTCCCTATATTTGTATATGAATAAAACTGCACCTAAAGAACGAGCTCGAGTTCTACTACCGTGCTCGCGTCACGCGCTCGCGGTACGGCGCGCAGAAAATTCCCTCAGCCCCGTTTCTGCTAGCTCTACTGACGGCACGCGGGCAGTGCGGATTCAATAACAGGATGAAACTGTGAGTTGAACAGAAATGCGACGCGAGGCGAGAGAGGAAAGACAAGGGAGATGAAAGGCGAGAGTGGGGAAGGCGGAGCAGAGGCAGGGACGGAATGAACGGAGGGAAAATGATGGGTGATGCCTGACAAAACAGACGGCCGAAGACTGACGGCCGAGAAGTGCCTGATGGGAACAACAAAACTCCCTAAAATGCTTCCCGCCCTTTCAATTCAGTGGGGTCAGCTGCCAACTACACTCGGCTTGTGATAATCGTTGAACTAGTTTTAGTCCCCTAAAAACAGAAAACTATTCCACCTCAACCAAGGCAACTTTTAGATACAATACAACGCTGAGGTTATACCACTCAAATCATCCATCAATGCTACTGGTTTCTGAAATCTGAAAAGGAACCAGAAAAATCACTGGGCGTAGTAACCCTGCTGATAGTACCCTGTTGTGGCAGCAGCGGCAGGGGCGGCAGAGGCGGCAGGCGCAGCGGCATAGCCAGACTGAGGATACTGCCGTGAGGAGCAAAATGGGATAGGAATGAAGGGAGCACAGAATGCATTGGTGAGAAGAAAGTTGTATGCATCCAGGTGATAAATATATTTACGGCATATACCAAGACACCAAACCTTAACCATGCTCTTATGCTCCATTGCCACATACCCATACGCTCCACATACCTGTACACATGCCTACCCTTAAGCCCCATACCTGAGAATATGTCTGTCCATACGCCCCATATCCAGAAGCAGCAGCCTGGGGCGCAGCAGGCGCAGCAGCTGCAGCAGGGGCAGCAGAGTAACCGCCATAGCCAGCATAGCCAGAATAAGCCTGCATGGGGTCAGACCCAGGGATGAAGAGCAGTCAGACACGCCAGGCAAGCACAGGGTGAACACAGGGAGGAGAGGAATCAAGAGAGAGAGAGAAAAAAATCAGCACACATAGCACCAAGCTCAAAAGGCCTGACATCATTTCCAAATAAAATAGATACACTCTTCCCTGGCAATCCTGTCCCCCTCCTTCTGCCCTTCCCTTCCAATTCCCTCTCCTCCCTTCCCGTCCAACAACACTCATCCCTTCCATCAGCCCCTCACCTGTTGCCCATACGACCCCCATTGCCCCTGCTGGGCAGGCGAAGCAGCCGCAGCCGGCGCCGCAGCAGCAGCAGGCGACGCGGGAGTTGCAGCAGCTGCAGCTGCCGGTTGCTGCCACGCGCCCTGCTGCTGCCTCTGCCCCGCATACCCCCCATACCCCCCTCCCGCTGCTCCACCGTAACCACTGGCGCCCGCAGCACCATAGTAGTTAGACGAGGGAGCAGAGGCGCGGTGGTGCTTGTACCCTCCGGCCCGGTCGGGGTAAGAGGCACCGTCTGGGTGGGTGCGCTTGCGCGAGTCGGCAGCGGCGGTGGTGGCGGCGGCGGTGGGACGCTTGAAGGGGAAGAGGGAGCGGTGGCGCACTGCTGCTTGCTTCACTGCTGCTGTGTCCCCAAACAGATCCGCTAACTGGATGGGTGTGGGGCGAGGGAGGGCAGGGAATGAGGAAGGGAGGGAGGGAGGGAGGGAAGGAGGGAGAGAGCCTTCTGAGATGCCTCAAAAGTCATTTGAAGGGGAAGAGGGAGCGGTGGCGCGCTGCTGCTTGCTTCACTGCTGCTGTGTCGCCAAAGAGATCCGCTAGCTGGATTGGAATGTGGGGAGGAAGGGGAGGGAGGGAGTGAGAGTCGACTCAATGAGCGGTGGTGGCGGCGGCTGAGGGGCGTTTGAAGGGGAAGAGGGAGCGGTGGCGCGCTGCTGCTTGCTTCACTGCTGCTGTGTCGCCAAACAGATCCGATAGCTGGATAAGTTGGGGAGAGGGGGAGAAGGGAGAGGAGGAGGAGAATGGTAGAATGGGAGAGAGGAGGAATGTGGAGAATGTAAGAAACGAAGACGATGACGCATGAAGAACTGGGGAGGTGGAGTAATCTAAGTTCAATCAACCCTCAATCTCAGTCAGCAGCCCACAGAGGAGATTTTCTCACCTCCACAGCTATAGTGGAAATGTCCTCCCTGTCAGCAGCAGAGAGCAGCGGCGTGTTGTCAGCCTTCAATCCGCCCAGTGCGTCTGCCACCAGTGCCTCCACTCGCCCCACTGCCTCTCCCTCACCCAACCTTCAAAGATAAACAAAAGCTCCCCTCACCTCCACGGCTATAGTGGAAATGTCCTCCCTGTCAGCAGCGGAGAGCAGCGGCGTGTTATCCGCCTTCACTCTACCCAGTGCGTCTGCCACAAGAGCCTCTCCCACACCCAGCCATTACGAGCACCACCTCTCACCTCCACGGCAATAGTTGAGATGTCCTCCCTGTCAGCAGCAGAGAGCAGCGGTGTGTTGTCCGCCTTCACTCTGCCCAGTGCATCTGCCACCAGTGCCTCCACCCGCCCCATGCGCACCGATGGTGATGCACCCGGCAGCGACGCCTCAAAGGATATCGCCGCCTGGCCATGGCAGGATGTGCGGCGGGAAGAGGGAAGAAGAGGGGCAGGAGAGCAAACAAGACACAATTGAATGATGACTTTTGAGGTGCCTCAAAAGCGACGCCTCAAAGGATATGGCCGCCTGGTCAAGGCAGGATGTACGGCGGGAAGAGGGAAGGAGGGGGACAGGCGTGGAAACAAGACCCAATTGAATGATGAAGCCACCGGTGAAACTCTCTTAAAAAGCACAAGGTGACTGCGCCTACACTGAAACCGTGCATGAGCACTGGCCTGGCTGGCCATATGGCATATACCAGGCAGGCACTATGCCCGCACTGCAGGTCAAGCAGCGGGCACTACACACAGCTCCTGACTGCACACCTGCCAGATGGTCTTGTTGTCCGGTGCAGCCTCGATCGCTGCCTTGAATTCCTCACGTGCCTTGTCCTCCTCTCCTCCCACCTGCACCCCGCCCCGCCCAGCACACACAACACACGATACAACACCCACGCGTGAATGCTTCCCTCTAGACGCCTGGGCCTGGATCAATACTGAAGGCTACAATGACTGCTTCTATGGATGCAAAGTAGTCTGCTGAACATGAATAAGCTTATAACAATCCGCAGCGGCGGCCTTACAGTGAGCAGGTAGCGAGCGTGCTGCAGGTGCAGATAGGACAGGATCTTGGACCCCTCTTTCTCCTTCTCCGCCTGCACTGCTGCCTCCAGTACTGCTGCCCCTGCCGCTACACCGGCCTGCCAGGGCAAGAGGGGAAAACTCAACCGTTAAGTGCTTGAAGTACCGGCGCAATGACTGTGAAAATCCAATGCAAGAATTGGTGCACTGGTTTCACAGATGTGGTGATTCATAGGCATAGCTGGCTTTAACGATCTTCACACAAAGGGAAGCCCTGCATAAGCAACCCTCCCTCACTCCCATTCACATTTCTCCAAACCTTTCCACACAGTCCTTCCCTGCCCTCCATGGTCCACCTCATCACCTCCTCACACCCTCAGCATCTCGCCACCTCACCTGCCGTCTTTCCAGGTTGGCCTTCTGCACCGTCAGCTCCAGCAGGCCCGCTGCCAGCGATGCAGCCGTGTCCAGCGCTGACGTGGCACCCTCCACGTCCCCATGCTGTTCCTTGTACCGGGCGGCAAACAGGTGGATCTCCGGGCGGCGCTGCCAAGGAAACGGAGGGGTGGGAGGAGGTGTGGAGCGGTGGCAGGAAGGCAACACAGGTGAGCAAGCACCGAGGGGCAGAGACGTTCCCTGGGGGAGATACAGAATGAAATAGTACACTGTGATATCCCCTCGATGAAGAAGAAGACTGAGCCTGTTGACACTGTGATCATAGTGACCTTCCCGAATGAAATCTGTTGTGGCAGTACACCATGACATCCCTTGGGGCAGATACAGAATGAAATAGAACACTGTGCCTCAAGGCAGAAGACTCAGCCTTGTAAACACCACCTCTCCCCTACCTGTGCCAAAAGGTCTCACCTTGACAAACACAGCAGTGGCTCTGAGCAGCGCGTCCTTGGCCCTCTCGTCCTCGTTATTAGCATCCATGCACTCCACATAGCGCACCCAGTACTCGGGGTAGTTGGCACACGGCACCACACAGCGCTCGTAGATGTTGATGGTCTGATGGGGATGGGGATCGTGGATGGGGAATGGGGAGAAGGAGGATGGGGAACGGGAACGGAAGACAGGAAGGGAATGAGGGATGGGAGATGGGGGAGGGGAGAGCAGCATGTAAAAGGGTAACCGGCAGACGACGCATTTGTTGACTCAGAAGTCGTGGGTGCTGCTCTGCTCTGATGTCCGACCACTGTAACCCAGCCACTTGCTGCACTGACACATCACATCCCTCAGCGCCAGGAACTCTACCCAACCATCGTGTCACCAAGCACTCATCCTGCCACTGCATCCCACACACCCTCCCACTCACCCGTGCAATGTTGCCCTCCTTCTCAGTGAAGTCCAAGTACCGGTGCCAGTTGTTCAGCTGCGCCTCATCCAGCGGCTTCACGTGAAAGTACGGGCGCTTAATCACCACCTCAAACTCCCGAATCTCCCCGTCGCGCCGCTTGCTGCTCTGATACATCACGTCCCTCAAGGCTAGGTACTCCGCTAGCTGCTGCTCCTCTGTCTTTGCGACTGGCACTGGCGCAGGCGCGGACGCAGGCGGCGGAGCAGGGGTGGGGACAGCGGCAGGGGCGGCAGCAGCGGCGGCAGGGGCAGCAGCATCGGCTGCGGGGGCCTCGGCTCCTGGAGCAGCATCAGCACCAGTACCAGCAGCGGCAGCATCACCAGCAGCAGCAGCGTCGCCTTTTGCTGCCTTGGCCTCGCCGTCTCCCTCTTTGGCCTCCTCCGCGCCTGGGGCAGCACTGCCGTCCTCCCCGGCCGGCTGAGCCGTCTGCACCTTGAGGGCGGCGGCAGCAGCAGCAGCGACTTCAGCTGCAGCTGCTGCGGACTCCTCGGGCGTGCGGATCTCGTCTAGGGTGTGCGTCGTTGCGAAGTGGCGGAAGCTGAGAGGGGAGGGGAGGGCATGGGTGCGAGGGGCGAGAAAATGGGAGAAGGAACGGGATGGGTGCGTGCGGACTCCTCGGGCGTGCGGATCTCGTCTAGGGTGTGCGTCGTTGCGAAGTGGCGGAAGCTGAGAGGGGAGGGGAGGGCATGGGTGCGAGGGGCGAGAAAATGGGAGAAGGAACGGGATGGGTGCGTGCGGACTCCTCGGGCGTGCGGATCTCGTCTAGGGTGTGCGTTGTAGCGAAGTGGCGGAAGCTGAGGGGTGAGGGGGGGGCAGGAGGCGACAGGGAGAGGGGGGTGGGGGGGAAGGAGGGAGGGGCGAGGAGGGCGCGGGACGGGGGGCCGAAGGACGCGGCAGGTGAGATACGCGCCGTGCGAGGGAGGCGGGGCGAGGATGGGAGAGAAAGACAAGTAATTCGTGTGTGCAGAGAAATTTACCCTCGGACCACGCAGTCCCGCTCTCCCAGTCGCTCCAGACCCCTAAGCCACCTCATGCACTCACGCGTGGTAGTAGTGGTCGAGTTGCTGCAAGGGCACCTGCAGCATGCGCGTGTAGATAGGTGACCACCACGCCACCACGCCACCATGCCACCCAGTGCACCCCACCAGGCCCCAGGGGCCCCCAATCGCCCATTAACTGCACTCACGCGTGGTAGTAGTGGTCGAGCTGCTGCAGCGGCACCTGCAGCATGCGCGTGTAGATGGCATGGCGGCGACCCCAGAACCAACCACACCACCATGTCACTACACCACCCAGTGCACATCACCAAGCCCCAGGCCCTCAAGCCCCCCCTCGCCGCACTCACGCGTGGTAGTAGTGGTCGAGTTGCTGCAGCGGCACCTGCAGCATGCGCGTGTAGATAGCGGCGACCTTGCTCCACTCGCTCCTTCCACCCTCCAAGTCGAGGTACTTCTGCCACACCGTGTGCGACAGGTAGTCCGTGCCCACGTACACCAGCGCGCGCTCAAACAGCCTGCGCAAGCGCATCACACATGCCGCACAAACACGCGCGCGCCCCCCCCACGCAGACCGCCATTCCCACTCCTTCCCCAACCCCATCCCGCCCCCCGCCCCCGCCCTCCACACCAGTACCGCACAGCACAAATGCGCATGGAAACAGGGGGTTTGTTAGGCGAGGGTAAGGGACGATCGAGCGGTAGGAGGGAAAGGGCGGGCAGGAAAAAGTTGGTGTGTGTGTATCGAGGGACAAAAGGGGAGGAGAAAAGTTGAGAGCTGTGTAGAAAACCGGACCCCCAGGCGAAACTTGGCACTCACAGCCCGAACCGAGCAACGAGGCTGCTTGTAAAGAGGACGGATTGCGGATTAGCCAGACTGAATCGGCCCACGTCACGTCCTGAATTGGACAGTCCGCAGACGGTTTCTTTTACCTCTTTCCTGCGCCAGCGCGACCAATCGAGTTCCTTTATCGTTTGCCTGCCCGGCTGCCCGTAAAGACCGCTAGGTGGTTAGGCGGTTGGCCGATCTTTGAAGCGAGTTCGTTACAAGGCTCGGGACGTAGGCGTGAGCGGATACCAGACAACGTGGCATCGATTACCATGAACGAATCAAGCTTAGCCAACCGAGGGAACAAAAAAAAAGTCTACGCGATGAATAAATGGAAGCTATAAATAATAAATTCCGCGAAAATAGACAGGACAAAAAGGCGAAGCGGGAATCGCGCTAGGGAGGACGGAGAGGGGAGGGGAGAGGAGACAATGGGGAAACTGGGAAGGGGAAGGAGTTTCTCCTCGCGCGCATCTGCATTGAACACAGGAGGAGGTTAGCGGCAGCAGAAGCAGCTGCGGCGACCAACGAACGAACCACTAAAGACGGGGAAAAGCTAACGGTGTAGAAGGGAATAAAATATAAAACGTGCGGAAATCGTTATACTCACACCCTGACGGTCTCTGTTGCGAGCCTTAATCAAGGGGTCACATGAAGCAAGGGAGCGAGGGGGGGGTAAATTAAAAGCAAGAAGTACCAGACCCCGACGTATGCTTATAAAAAGCTCGAATGCGTTCTGCTGTTGCGCGGAATGACGGGAGCGGCGCGTACGAGCCTTCGACGGAAAGCACACCGAACATGACGTTCAGAAAAGCTGCCACGGCGAAAAAGAACATAGAGTGCGGTAGAGAGGGTTTCGGAGGTGCACCTGCGGATCTCCTCGGGGTCCTCGACGGTGGCGGTGAGGTGGTTGGCGTAGTGCAGCCAGATGTCGACGCTGTACGGCACGGCGGCGACGGCGCGCTCGAAGACCTCGAGCACGCGCTCCTTGTTGCCGTGGCGCTGCTCGTGGTCCGCGTACTTCTTCCAGTACCCGAAGCACAGCGGGAACTCCGCCAAAAACGTGTCGTAGACAGCTCGCAGGTTCTCCAGTTTGTCCTGGGAGCAACGAAAAGGTGGGGTGTGGGAGCGTGAGATCGGGGGAACACTGGTTTAGGCAAGGCACAATAGTTGCCGGGCGTGGCGCTGCTCGTGGTCCGCGTACTTCTTCCAATACCCGAAGCACAGCGGGAACTCCGCCAGAAACGTGTCGTACACTGCGCGCAGGTTCTCGAGCTTGTCCTGGGAGCAACGAAGAGGAGAGATGATGGAGCGTGAGATTAGTAGCGCATTTGTTCAAGCAAGAAACGCCGGCAGTCATTTGATTATGCTTTGATAGATCCGCCGAACATACGACGTTTGAACGGATAAACGTCAGGAATAACATATATAAAATTGGAAGGCGGGATGGTGGGAGCGGAATCGAATAACAAGGCTCAAGGACGGGGTTTGTGGTATGGAAGACTTACCGACTTCTCGCTTTCCTGAATGAGCGCGACCCACGACTCGAAGTCCCCCGAGTTGGCGCGCACCAGACCCCATAGCCGCTCCTCCTCCGTCGGCGCTGGGGGCGCTGCGGGAACTGCGATGCGGAACGGACAGGCATAGCACGATGGACAATAGAAGATGCCGGATTGTTCCAGACAAAAGCACTCAATCATGTTTTAAAAAACCAAAGATCTGCAAAGAAAAAATAAGGCATTTGCAACAAAAATGTGATAAGAAGCGAGTGCATTTAAAGCAGCTACAGACAAAAGTTGACGTACCTTCAGGGGCTGCAGGAGCAGCAGCAGCCTCAGCGGCTGCGGTCGCGGCGCCATCAGCAGCAGGAGCAGCAGCGTCGGCGGCAGGAGCAGCAACATCGGCAGCAGGGGTTACTCCAGCGTCGGCAGCAGGAGCGTCAGATGCACCATCAACGGCAGGAGCAGCTTCACCCTCAGCAGCAGGAGCGGCTGCAGTGGCGTCGTCACCAGCACCAGCTTGAGCAGCCGCGGCAGCAGCCGCCTCTTCCGCTGCCGCCTCCTCCTCCGCTGCTGCTTCCGCCACGGCCGCTGCAGCAGCTGCTGCAGCGGCTGCAGCTGCGGCCGCTTCAGCAGATCCGTTCTCTTCAGCCCCGTCTTGCGCCATAGGATCGTCATTCGCAGCGGCTCCGGTGTCCGCGGCTGCGGTTTCCTCTTCGCCGTGCACGTCCATCTTCACTGGCTGGTCTTCTTCCGACGCCATGTCAATTAACTTTCCCAAAAAAAACCCGAAGCCTTTGTAAAAATAGGCAAGTACCAAGACTCGTGGAGTTCAGGGAACCGCGTGCTCCTGGCGCCTGTATAATCGCGATGGACCACTAGGAACTAGGTGATAGACCTGAAGAACAAAAACCTTAGAGGGTGGGAAACTGGCCTATGCTTTGATTTGCCTGAAAGGAAGAACCTCGAATGTGATCCAATTCTTGGATTCACCAGCATATAGTATATTGTCAAATGTTGTAGCCTATAGTGAGGTTTGTCTTAGGGGGTACAAAACTTAGGGTTAGCTATATGTACCCCAACCAACATCAATGCATCATCCATTCTTCATTTTGACATGGTATCAGTTAGGTTAGGATCCTGTGGGATCCCGTTCCTCCGTTCTCCGTTCGAGCCTCCCGAGCCTGATCCTAGCTCTCATTCGTCCCGGTTCCGTTGTTACCGCGCGTAGTGCCGAGCCTAGCGCCAATCCTAGCGCCCGTCCGCGCCACCCGTTCCCCTCGTTCCGTAGCGCCCGCCCTTACCCCCCGTCGCGTCGCGTTCCCCCCCCACGTCGTGTCGCGCCCGTTCCCCCCGTCGCGTCGCCGCCCATTCCCCCCGTCGCGTCGCGCCTTTTCCCCCCGTCGCGTCCTGCCCGCCCTTTCCCCCTCGTCGCGTCCCTTTCCCCCCGTCGCGTCCTGCCCGTCCTTTCCCCCCTCGTCGTCGCCTCTGGTGCTGTGCCCCCCCCACTCTTCCACGGGTGCACAGTCCCGCAGTTACCCACCTTTACTGCCTCACTTGCCACTGCCGCTACTGACGCGACTGCAGCTGCTGTTACGACTGCGTCGCGGTCCCGCGGTAGGAGTGGCAAGAAAGGCGGTTCTGGTGGTGGTAGTGGAGGTGGAGGCGGAGGTAGTGGAGGTGGCGTTGCGCCTGGCGGCGGTGGAGGTTCAGGGTCTGGAGAGGCGCCTCGTGCAGTGACTGGTGACTCCACTGCGCCTGCTAGTGGTGGCGACGCCCGAGTTCGTCAGTCGCCTCCTGTACTTCCTGCCCCGGTTGGTGGAGCAGCGGCGTGGTACCAGGCTCAGCGTCAGCAGCAGCTTCTGCAGCACCAGCAGCCCCTCTCCTCCCAGCAGCCTCAGCAGCAGCAGCGGCAGCAGCTGGCTCCAGGGTCGGGGCTGCGTCAGACCCAGCGTGGTGCTGCTTACACTCCCTGCACCTACCAGGTTCTGACAGGCCCTCGTCGTGGCCACCCTTGTGGCCGGTTTCACCCCCCTGGTCAGTGCTTTGCTCAGCTCACTGACACGGTTCGTTTGGTCTACGGGGTTGGTGCTCCTGCCCCTGACTGGCTGCCTCTTGTTCAGCGCTACGGCTCCGCTCTGTGGGGCATGTCTGCTGAGCAGTTAGTTGATCTGATTGGTACTCCCCATGCTATGTATGCTGTTGTTGACTCTAGTGTTTCTGACTCTGCTTACTCTGGTGTTGGTGCTGCCTCTGGGGGTGGTGTGCTTGGTGCTTCGGAGGTCGACTCTGGGGCTGCCGCTGCCCCGGACACTACTCCTTCCCCCCACCCCTACCCGACCAGGTTCCAGGCTCGTGTTCGCCGTGCTCGTGAGGAGCAGCTGGAGTTGGAGAGAGAGGAGAGAGAGTTGCAGCGGCTCGAGGAGCAGGAGCGACAGCAGCAGGGGCAGCAGCCGCTGGAGCAGCAGCAGCCGCAGCAGCCGCAGCAGCAGCAGCTGCCGTCTCCTCCTCCTGTCTCGGGTCTTCGGACCCTTGGTCTCCCCTCTCCCTCTCCTTCCTCCTCCCCCTCTCCTCCCGTCTCTGGTCCTCCGCTTCCTCCTCCTGACCCCTCTCCCGCTGTTTTCCCTCGTTCTCAGTCTTCGTTGTCCCCTCCTCCTTCTCAGACTTGGGCCTCTCGTCGCTCCCCTCGTGCTCGTCCCTCGTCTCCTGTTCCCTTCACTGACCTTCGTACTGCCTTACTTCGTTCTAGTCCACCTCGTCCGTCTCCGTCTGTGCTTCCGTCTCCTCCTGAGTCGGCTCTCACTGCGTCGCTCCCTACTCCTGTCACTGACTACTACCGCACGTACCGTCCTCTTCTCTCTCGTGTTCTCGCCTCGCTTGTTACTCACCCTCGTGCCTCTGTGTCCTCTGTGTCCGCTCTTACTGCCGCAGTCACTGACTTTGCCTCTACCCGCCGCCTTGACTTCGCCACCGCTCTTGTGGCTGCTCCTCCTTCCAGTCCTCTGGCCGTCGGGGGTGTGTCTGCCCTTGGCTGTGACGCCCTAGAGGACAGGCAGTTTGAGCTAGAGTTCCTGGCGGCCGCTTCCCCTCATCTCTGTGCCATGCTCCTCGCCCCTGAGGGTGACCCCGACGCCCTTGACATTCCGACTCCTCGCACTTACGCTGAGGCAGTGTCAGGGCCTTGGGCCTCTCAGTGGAGAGCTGCCATGGACGCAGAGATGGCCTCCTACAGATCCACAGGCACCTACGTCGATGAGGTTCCCCCTCCGGGGGCGAACGTAGTCGACGGCATGTGGATCTACAGGGTGAAGCGGCCACCGGGATCTCCTCCGGTCTTCAAGGCGCGCTACGTGGCTAGAGGTTTCAGTCAGCGCGAGGGAGTTGACTTCTTTCAGACCTTCGCGCCCACCCCGAAGATGACCACTCTTCGGGTGTTACTACACGTAGCAGCACAGAGAGACTACGAGTTACACTCTCTTGACTTCTCTACTGCTTTCCTTCAGGGCAGTCTTCACGAGGAGGTCTGGTTGCGTCGTCCCTCTGCCTTCACTGGCTCTTTCCCTCCTGGGACCCAGTGGAGGCTGAGGCGACCGGTTTACGGTCTTCGTCAGGCTCCTCGTGAGTGGCACGACACCCTGCGTTCTACCCTGTCTGACCTTGGGTTCCAGCCGTCTTCTGCTGACCCGTCGCTGTTCGTTCGTCGTGGCCCCACACCTTTCTTTGTTCTGGTCTACGTTGACGACCTTGTTTTCGCCACCCCTGACAGGGTTGCTTTGGCACACGTGAAGTCCGAACTGCAGAAGAGACACACCTGCACTGATCTTGGTGAGCTGCGCCACTACCTTGGCCTGCAGATCACCAGGGACAGAGCTGCTCGCACCATTACACTTTCACAGTCGCACATGGTGCAGCAGGTCCTTCAGCGGTTCGGGCTTCAGCACTCCACAGTACAGCGCACACCTCTTGCTGTTGACCACAGACTCACTGGACCCTTTCCTGACGAGCCGTTCGAGCCTAGTGGTCCCTACGCAGAGCTTGTGGGTTGCCTCATGTACCTGATGACTTGTACTCGCCCGGACCTTGCCTTCCCTCTCAGCGTTCTTGCGCGCTTTGTTGCGCCAGGGAGACACCGTCCTGTTCACTGGACAGCAGCTGTGAGGGTGGCGAAGTACCTAGCGACGACGTCAGGCGTGGGGCTAGTTCTTGGAGGGCAGCAGTCTGTCGTACTTACTGGTCACTGTGACTCCTCTTACGCTGACGACGCTGAGACTCACAGGTCTACTCAGGGGTACTGTTTCAGCCTGGGTTCTGGAGCTGTTTCCTGGCGGTCCACGCGCTCCTCTTCGGTCTCGACCTCTACAGCTGAGGCTGAGATCTACGCTGGTGCCATGGCGGCACAGGAGCTGCGTTGGTTGACCTTCTTGCTCACCGACCTTGGTGAGCGGCCGAGCTCTGCACCGACCTTGTTCACTGACAACAAGGCGTCTATTCTCCTTTGTCGAGAGCCACGACTGGAGAGCAGAGTGAAGCACATTCACGTCAGGTACTTTCTTCTGCGAGAGTTGCAGAGGCGTGGACAGGCTCGCTTTGAGTTTGTGGAGTCCGAGGCCAACACTGCAGACATCTTCACCAAGGCGCTTCCGCCTTGTGACCACCAGAGGTGCTGTGTGCAGTTAGGCCTTGTTGACACTGGTTCTCGTGTTGCTTAGACTTGAGTGTACTGTTTACTTTGCTTTCTATATACCTCTGTTACTTCTTGGACTGGCCTTGTGGCCACTGTTGTTTGTGCTCAGACTGTGTGGTGACGTTGTGATCCACCCTGAGCTTCGTTTCTTGGACTGGTCTTGTGACCGTACTCGTTTGGTTCTGCTAGACACCCCTCACTTAGGCTATGGGGGTGTGTCAAATGTTGTAGCCTATAGTGAGGTTTGTCTTAGGGGGTACAAAACTTAGGGTTAGCTATATGTACCCCAACCAACATCAATGCATCATCCATTCTTCATTTTGACATATATAATACAGTGCAGCTGCTCTATGGCTACAAAACATAGGGCCAAGTGAAATTGAACAAAAACAAGAGGCGACAATGTCGTCCTAGGGTTGCGAAGCGTTGTAGTCTTACGTATTGGTAAATACACAAATTTTATAAAGCTGTAGACTATACACAATGCTGTAGTATGACATTAAGTTGATACTTAGTG